CGTAGGGCGAAATCTCCTCAGGAATGCGTCCATGAATGAGGGAAAGGCCAACAAGGGCACCAAAGGATTTGAGCTCGATGCACCGCTCGAAGGATAGTTGCTGTTCCGCCCCCTCCTCTTGTTGAATAAATGTTTGGATTCCATGTCCTCGCAGACGCGGCGCAGTCCAACGAGGGAGCAAGTATGCAATGGCATTCGTTATCGTCTGCTCTTCAAGCCCAAGACCAGCTGAATCTGCAATGCCATTCGAATCAGTTCTAAAACATAGGTAAGTCAGTTGAACGAAAAGGAAATGTTAGCTCGGAAAGACATACTGGTTGAAGTCGCGGTTTGGAGACAGAAGCAGCGAGAAATCATCTGCTATCACACAGTCCCGAAGTATGCTTAGTAGTTGAGGCACCAGATTACTCTCAGAAGCAGCAACTTTTAAGTGCGGAGCATCATCTGGCACATATTCGGGTCGCGCTCCTGGATGAGTGAGGGCGAATATATGAGTTGCACTCCATTCGGTGTTGCGATAAGTTGGGTGTGATGCAGGTGATTCATATGGCTCCCATAGCTGCTTCGGCTGGCAAGTCGAAAATTCCTTTTAACATCGTTAGAATCCGATAAAATGAGAGATATAATATAATATACGCACGCGAGGAGTAAGTATGACAAGGTTGTTAGGTCCTATGGTCCTAGTAAATCGATGGCCAGTATCGTCGGTAGGGGTGAGAGCCTGAGTGTGATTATGACCGATTAGGCGAGCCGAGTGTCGTCGATAAAGTTGGCGATGATTATTTCCTCGAGGAGGAGGAGGATTGTTTGTCGAAGAGGATGAGGATGAGGCAGTAGCATCTACATCCATGACCATCTGCTCGACCAGAACCGTGTCCGCCTGCGAAGAACTATCATCATCATCAACAGGTTCGTCTTGATCGCAATCGCAGGGTCCAAATTCCCGCTCCCTCGCTCCATCCTCTGTTTTATTGTTGAATTTTGCGTTCATTCGTTCCGGTAAGCAGAGGTGATATCGCTGATTTTGCCTGCCAAACGTAGCCAGTCCTCGAATACCATGGCGAAAGACAGCTGTCATAAATGATTCAGTTCAGTCTTGTTGGTTAGAGTCAAAGAATATACATACCGAGACGCACGATCAGCTGAGAGTCACGAATGGAATAGGAAGGATTTGCGAGTCCCAACTCATTCTCTTGGAGAAAGAAACTTGAGAGGGTTAGATCGCCCGCCCAGTCTTGTTGAATCAAATTGTTGCGACTGCGTAGGACCGTTCGTGTACCATTGTTTGAGATGCGAAGAAGTTTGAAGTCAAGTGCATCACCCGATTGATACTCTCCCGCACCAATCATGTTCCCAACAAAGCGCCATTGCCGGTCCGACTGCTCCATATCTCGTCGAACCATATTCATGAGTTCAGGAACTGTTGTTGAGTCAACGAGTGTGTACTGATAGCGAAGATTATAGGTCGACAAGTTGGTCTGGAATGAGCGAAGGAGATTATGAAAAAGCATATATTGCCGCTAAATTGATGTTAGAATCATGTGAGATAATTTAGATGGCAAAGACATACTGCTGGTAGTTGTACTTGAACATCAAGGTTTACGAAGCGCACCTGTCCTTGAAATGAGAAGACTGATTGGGTGATATGTACGACCGAAGCTTGTGACAATGCGGCCTGAGTTGCCTGAGTTGTTGAAGGGGGTGCTTGTGCAGCACCACGCGTACGACGACGGCTAGCGCGTGGTGTTGTGCTAGATGTTGAGGGAGAAGAAGTTGTCCCTGCTGCTCTACTTCGAGAATTGCGTATGACAAGCGGTGTGGTTTGGGGGAAATGATGATGGATAGCCGCAGTTCTGCCACCACTTGCCGTTGAGATTTCGCTTTGGGTTAAATTGGACACCACATTATGGCGAGAACGAAGAGTGTTCTGGTTAGAGGACATGCCAACTGCGAGCGCTGGTGCTGCAGTGATCATTGCCATTGGGCTGCTGGCTGCAAACGATGTTGGATGATGAGTTAGACCGCTAGGGCTAGGCAGAGGTGGGATAGCTGGATGGCCAATGGCTGATGCAGGAATAGAGGGAGTTGGAATGGGAATAGATTCTGGTGATAGCGAAGAAGAAGGAGTAGATGATGCAGGTGCTGCTGCTGTATTGCCACTGGTGAGCGGTTGGGTTGGTGGTTGAGGTTGAGTTGGTGGTGGTGGAATAGCCGCTGCTATAGGGCGGTAGGGAATAATGGGTGGCGCAGACAATAGCGCTGTTGGGGCTGTTGGGGTTACTGCCACCGTAGGAGATGCTTCAGATGGAGCTGAGGAGGAGGCTTGGGTCGGAGAATTTTCTGCTTCAAACTGCAGAAAGCGCAAGTAGCGCTGGTAATGCTCCATCTCCATCGATAGATAAAGAACTATAGTAAATATATTAGCAAGTGCCAACAGTGCGAATATCTCAACACACAAGAATGACTTGAGTGGAGGTTTGAATGCGAACGAATGAACGAATAAAGAGAATGGTGTGATGTCACATGTCACAAACAAACACTTGTCACAGTGAAGAAAGACACTCGAACTCGGTCACACCAAAGCCAGACCCTTGTGACACGGCTGGCTGGCCACAATAAATAATATTCTAATGCTGCAAAAATGTCTTTGTATAAAGAATAATAGTCAAAGAAATAATCCCACATTTCGAGACAAAACTTCCCAAAAGAGGTTAAGGTGTGATCGGTTCGTCGAAAACCACCAAGTACAGTCACATGAACCACAAAATGACATTCTCTGATCCAACTTTTTGTACGCACTCAGCCTCAAACCAGTTTACAACGATAAATACCGTCATAACTTCTATTGCGGAAATGCGCTGGACGCCGCGATTGCCATCTACAATACTAGTAATCTGGGCTGCTGCCACCAGTGCTTCCATCACCCAATCGCCGGTCGCTCGCACAAGCACACCAAATGCAAATGGGCCCGTCACGGGCTGTCGCCAAAGTAAGGTGCGGCACGAATTAGGGCTAGCGGTCCCCACGACACAAACACGGAGGCGGCGGCGACCACTCAGAGTAGAGGACTTACTCGGCGACAACATAGTTCGCCTATGCCCAGCGGCGATTGGCCTGTTCAAGTTCCCCCATGGTCCGTCCCATGGCCATCTCCATCGCGGCCGCCACAGCCAGCCAATACAGCCTAGGAATTCACCGTGGCCGCGCTTACGACTGCGAATATTGATATTGAGAAGCCACTGGCAGCGATGCTTCCCTCGGCGCCAGTGGCTCTTTTTAGCACACTTACTTCCTCTGCCTTTAGCTCCGCCTGTCTCCGAGCCGTGTACGAAGCGCGCTAAAGTGCGCGGTGCATCCGGAAGCGCACCCGGGTTCCCACGCCTACCTTGCTCCTGTCCCCCTTGCCCATCTTGGACTGCTGTTGCTCAGGAGTTGACTACTAGAGATGCATCGCGATCTGCCAGCTTGGACTGAGTGCTGACTGACGTTGGCGCAGCCACTCGCGCGTCGGGTCGCCATCCGGACGATCGAAGGGGGGCACGCATCGCTGTCACTCAGTGGGTGTCTATCTCCCTTTCCATTCAAGTGGATAGACAATCTCCATGCAACAGAGATCACCGCGATTAATATGCTCTGAGGATGGCTGATCGTTGTGTTGTAGTAAGTCGGACAGAGCCCGATATGGACATACTTGCTAGGCGTACTGCCACCGCCACCGGCCACATGCCTGCCGACGCTGACAAATTCGCCGTCAGTGATCTGCCAATGGCCGTCAGAATCCGAACAAACACGGGCGAACCCACGGTGGCTAATGCACCGCGCCTGGCCGGCCCACGTCAACTGCACGAAGCACAGAAGCGCCGTTTACAGTTCGCGTGCACGCGCTCAGGGCTGCTGTAGGCTGCTGTTCTATTCTGTCTGGGTTCTTTTCTGTTCTGTTTTCAAGTTATTCTCAAGGCCTCGAATCACTCACACGGCTGCGAGTTCGCACGGGGGACCTAAATTTGGAGGGTGACCCGAAGGCGACTGGTCGCCTGTCGTCAAGGGCCACCCGGAAATACACCGCGAATATTACTGTCCGCCCCTATCATGTAGCCGATCGTCGGCCCGAGCATCGCACCGCACAATCTATTATCTAATCGGCGACCGTGACGTCACAACTAGGGTTAAGGTCGTTTTGCAACGACCGACGTGGTGCAGCGCCGCATAGCGACCCTGGCGATTACAGGCGGCGGATCTCTGATTCTCTGTAGGGTACATACCAAACAGATTAAGATGCCACGTGCACGTGGTTGGTGTCTAACCTGCAGTGTCGCGTTCCGTCTGTCCCTGCCATAGGACACGATCGCGAAGCGGATTGGGCGGGCCCGCAGGTACTGTGTAAGAGTAGCATCATGTAACCAGCCATGGAAGTATGCATTCACACATCTCCCGTTGGGGACGACCGTGACGCCCGGCGCCTGATTTGGAACAAGCTTAAGCACCGGCACCTCCGGCCCGAATCGCTCCACCCAAACAGAAGCCTTGTTCTGTTCTCGCTCGCGACCGGCGCATGCTCGCTTCCAGCCAGCGTTCGTCATTGACACCGTGACTCCAATGCGGTACTACTAGCACTAGTGATTTCAACGCTTGGTGCCTAGCCAGAACGTTAGCGCGACTCGGATGAATCTTCCTTCCCTTACCTTGAACGGCAAATTGTCTCTCCACAACTGAGCAGCTACAGCCTAGGCTGAGCCCGCGCTCCGTCTTCGCAGAGGGCCCCATGATCGCAGGCCCTCCGCTTATCGCCCATTGACACCAGTCCCACCCAACTCAACTCTAGGACCTATCCTATCCCGATCACACGCTCCAGCTCGTGTGCCTGTCCGCACTCGCTCCACCAAATATAACACACTGGCAGCCGTCCAACCCGTCCATCAAGAAAGGGAAGGGATCAAACGAAAAAAATAGCGCATAATCTAATCTCTTATCTCCCATACGTCACACACACCAATTTTACTCTACCGCACCTTGACCGCCGCCCCGCCCTCTATCCTTCTCCTGCGCGCCCTTGTTGGAGTTGCCAGCCCGTCCTCCTCCGCATCGTAATCTTGCTTATACTTGCGCCCCCAGGCAGGTGTTGGGGCGGGCGAGAGGTACCCGCCCTGCGCGGGGTGGCGGTACGGTGTCGCTGGCGGCAGTGGGAGGTGCATCGGCACCGGCACCGGTCCGGGTGTTGCCGCCCTGTTGTCAGCAGTCGTAGGCTTTGCTCGCTCGCGGTACAAAGAAAGCAGCGTGTTGACAAACAGCGTGAGGAACGCGAGCGACGTCAGCGTGAAGCCCTAGCGCGTGGGTGAGTTATGCCAGTGCAATGAAAATGCTGCACACGGAAGGAAGAGAAGGTGGAGAAGAGGGGAAGAAGAACATGGAAGGAGGTATCGAATGACAGACTGCTGATGTGATGCACGATCTGATATGATCGATCACGCATATCCCTGGATTAGGCAGGCAGAATGGGAGAAGTCCAGAAGCCGATGGCCATCGCATTTCGAAGCTCGACTGCGGCGGCTGCTGAGCCTTACGCGCGGTAAACGGCTCTTGTGCGGAGAATGCACGGACGTGAGAGAACAGCCCGCATAACTTCCGTCCTTGCACGGGAAGTAGAAGCATCCGATTGGGACAGCGAAGCCCCAAACCCAAACTGCCGGCCCAGACCGCGAAGCGAAGCGAAAAGGCAAAAAATAAATATAAAGAAAACGGCCACGTACCAGTGTCTTCCAACTGATCGGCTCGACAAAGCCGTTGACAACCTCCGCGATGAGCTCAGCACCGACACGGGCGCGGCCGACGACGGCGGGGTCACGTGCCATACATGTCGCCCATGCCGCGCATTGGGCTGCCATCGCGGGCAGCGGTGTGTCGCAGAGGTTGTTTGTGTGTTGGCGCCGACAGAGGGCGATGTCTTGGATGATGTCTGGACAGCATTAAGTGAATGGCAAAGAGACTTGCATGGCGATATAACACTGCCAGCATTCTGTTGCCTCCCACCAGGAGGCTACAGGCACTCTCCAAGGCTGCTGTTCTCCCTTACAAAGGATCAACAAAGAGCCTTTGTCGAGGAGCAGCCAAACCACTAGCATATAATATGCCTTGAGGTGCCCGTAGCCTCCCCATTTCTAGGGAGGCTACAGATTGCCGGTGGTGTAAGGCAAACAGCCCGTTTTCAGTTGCCCAGGCAAACGCTCGTGGGAATGCCCGTAAGTGAGCCGGGTAGTCTCCAAAACAGACCCGAAATGAGAGAAAGGGAGGACATACCTTGAGAGTACTCAGAGATTCGCTCTTGCACGTCGCGTTGTACGGTCCAGATGAAGGCAAGCACGAGGTAGAGAAAGAGCAGGACAAGGGAGAGGTTGAAGAAGAATTGCAGGTAGCTGTAGTCGCGTTTTCAAGTTAGAAAAATGATAATTAAAAGAAACACAAGTGGCGCACCCTAACAAAACATACGGCACGTCGCTCGGTGGGGGTGCGGGCGCAGCCATGTTGACGGTATAATGGTTTGACGTTGAGCCCGTCCGTTGTAAGCCTTTATAGTCCCCTTCCTCCCCGTCCTCAGAGTCAGAGTCAGTCTCCACCATCGCCTGAGCCTGGGCCTTCGCCTGCATCCGTGACCGATGGACCCTCCTTAACGCGCCCGTTGCCACCCTCCGCTCGTCACCCGGGCTGGCCTCGGGCATATCTACGTCCCGCACCTCGGGGAACGCCTTTTCCGGCGAGAAGTTAGGCGGCGGGGCCCAGCCCATGTCCACTGTTGGGGAGTGTGGGGCGGGAGGGGATTGGAAGATGAACGGCACGTTCTTGTTTTCGCCGAAACCGAATCGTGTTGGCGTTGACGGGGTCGGGGTACTCGGCGCGAGGTCTGCATGCGAGCCTTGGGGTGCATTAGTCAGACAGCGGGTGGAGCGGGTGGTGACGCACGTTTGGCGGGGGTGGCCCAGACAGGCGTCGTCTGCGGGCGGTTCGTGTACTCAAAGTCCATCGGCGCCTCCGTTGACCGCTTCATCGTGGGCGGAAGGGAAAAATATCAACGTCACGAGACCGTGACACGCGTCTTTTCAGCCCCACCAAAATGTCGACCATGCTCAGTCGGGCTCTACGCTCCCCACTACGGCCGCTCTGCCGGCGCTTCCACCACCCAACTTCATTGGGACCGTCGGCTTCGGCGTTCGAGCCTCCACACGCAAACTTGGTGCCGATTGTGATTGAGCAGACGGGGCGGGGCGAGCGTTCATACGACATCTTCTCGCGGCTGCTACGAGAGCGCGTTATCATGCTTTATGGCCCTGTTTGTCTTCTCGTCTATTTGCTTAATGGATGCTTATGCCGAGTTACCAGATTCGGGACACAGACTCGACACTAACAGTCGCACAACTGCTCTTCCTCGAGGCAGAGGACACTAGCAAGCCTATTCATCTCTACATAAACTCGCCTGGTGGGAGTGTTACTGCCGGGCTAGCGATATATGACACCGTGCGTCGCCTTCCACTCCCTTTCCTCACCTATTAAATTCGTATATAGATGCAGGTTCGTCACGGTTTTTCACGTTGACGCCTTACCAAGAGGCCAGTACGTCTCTGCACCAATACACACCTACTGCATCGGACAGGCTGCCAGCATGGGCTCCCTGCTGTTGTCTGCCGGTGCGCCTGGGAAGAGACATTGTCTCCCGAATGCGAGCATAATGATCCATCGTGCGTGGTCTTCATTAATATCTTATCAACTAATGGTAAGAACTGTCAGAACCCTCGGGCGGGGCCTCTGGACAAGCCTCCGACATTGCTATCCACGCTAAAGAAATTCTTCGAATTCGTGCATTGCTCACAGGTATATACCAAAAACACTGCGCCCGTGCGGGCGAGGATGCTGCCGCCGGTCTCAAGCGCTTCGGTGTGTCCCTCTACTCCCTCTTCCTATCCACTCCCGACCAATTCCACCACTTCTGTTCCACTTTTCCACTCCCACTGCTTTCCACTCCTATTGGTCTTGCTAATCAATGATCATGCCCAGGCGAGGCGCTGGAACGCGACTACTTTATGACAGGTAAGCTGTGCTGTTGCTTCGTACCCGGTACCGCAGTTGCTGATCCTGCGACTAGCTCAGGAGGCGCTCGAGTTCGGGATCGTCGACGCGATATTGGAGCGCAGTCCCAAGGCGGCTGCGGAAGTGGATTAGAGGAGGACTTGTGAATAGAGATGGGTTTTGCAAAAGTGTTGAAGCAGATTGATCTGTTGACAAGAGAAACTGTTTAAAGATGATTGGGGTGCTCTGATAAACCTTGATAAGTATGCCTGAGTCTTATTAAGCTTCAGGTGGTGGATGTTTGCTTGAAAATACTTTGGTGGCGGCCCGGGGAAATGACATCGCAGCTGAAAAGTGTCTTCTGGTGCATTTGGCTGCTTAGAAACTTTGAATTATTGCTTGCAATGTCTAATAATTGCTCCTAGCATGTTACTTTCCAGCTCCAAAGTAATATACAGTGCTTGCCAGCGAATTGTACTCTCTCTTAGCTCTTGCAGAGAGAGTACCATCTCGTCCCGGTGTGACAGCGATCGTGCAACCCGTCAACGGCGTCTGTCTGCTTAAGACCATGTTCAAGTTTACCTATTCACTCACTTGCTTCGACCAATTGACCTGTGCGGGCACAACGGGCCCTTTGCTCAACCTTTGCTTGTCCGCATCTCCGACACACATATATGCCAGGGGCCAAGGCCCGGTGTGTTCCGGCGGCTCCAGTAGCGCTGCCACGCTAATATTAATTCGAATTCGAATTTCGCAGGCGACACAAACACTGCCTCCGCCCGACGAGCCCACCTCTCTCCTTCTTCAGCCACCCATCGCTATACCGCATAAAACGCGGCGGTAGCGTGTTTCGTGTTCCTTTTTTTCCTGCTGTTTCCCCCGCTCGATGGGTAGCTTCCACATTCGGCCCGTGCTCGTATTCGCGTGGTGGTGGCTTGCGCTAGCGTTTGTTGTCAGGGTCGATGGCAGGCGGAGTTTTCTGGTGCAACGAGATGGTGGGCCTCCACCGCCGCTGCCGCTGACGGTACCGGTGGCGCTTACCGCAGGGGCGGTATACTCGGTGCGAGTTAACATGGTGTGTCTTTAATGCTGTTAGCGAAAGCGGCACTGATAGCGTATACGATAGTCGTCCAATGCCCCACAGGCGTTCCGCTTTGCGCTTACCACTTCCACCGCGTTGGTTTCACGCCAAATTGGAGTGTTATTGCTGGCTAATTAAACGCTGTGTAGTTCGACGGTGGTGGCTGGCTCCGCTTGTCCCAACTGCGGCAGCGTTCCCTCGTGTGTCATCTTTTACCCTGTAAAAGTTGATTGCTGACTTCATGATGCCGATTAGATACGACCCGACACGATCGACAAGCGTTCAAGTACTGCAGGGCCAGCCTCCTCAGAACGTGTCCCTCCCGGGGCTCGCGGCGAGCGGGCCGATTGTCCGTGAGGACTGTACGCTCGCACTAAACAACGGCTCCGCGTGGGCGTACCCCAACCAGACTGGTGCGTACCCCTTCGCTTTGATTGTGGAACTACGAGTGGGTGAAGTCAATTATTGCGGCGCTCGCACCGATGGCCTTGGCTCTCCTTGTTAGCAACTCAACGCGTTCGCGTAGCGGATTTTCCGGCCGTCTGATTGGCTAGAGGCTTTTAGATTGCCAGAAGCTCGAGAAACCTCCCCCCCCACTTTGGCTTCTCCTCTCAGCCAATCAGAATGAGAATCGAGCGTCTTCCAAGAGTTATAATGGGCTCCAATCCATCCGGGTGGGATGATCTGCTGCATTTGGCAGAGATTAAAGCCATCGGATGCAGACATAACGACGCTCACCCATTCATAATTCCACAATCAGCTACATGCATTCAAACAGTGGCTAACGATGCATCAGTTATCGTCGCGAACTCTATCGCGGGCGGCTTCCGCAACGGGACATCCGGGCTCATCGGACTCGGTCAAGCGCCTTTTGGGGGCTCGCCCGCAAGCGAATGGCTGCGGAAAAACCCATCGCAGCCTGCTTTCCAGGTCGGATTCGCCCTCACCGCGCCACCGGTGAACGGATCAACGGACACTGATGGCGGGGAACTGCACGTGCTCGCGCCGAAGCCGGGCGCGTATGCGGGCGATGTGATGTGGCTCCCGATGCGCGCGCTCAACGCGGTTGACGGGGGCAATGGGAGTGCGAATGCCCCCACAAGCTGGGCGGTCACGATGGACGCATGGCGCGCGACATCCGCTGGGCCGCGGGGGTTTAATGTTTCGCAAACGAATACGCCTCTCGCGACATATCTCGACCCGCTTTTCCCCACTATTGTGTTTCCACAGGGCGCTGCGCGGTTGATATGTGCGTGTCTTCTCCTCTCTACTTAGGACCAGCCGGGAGTAGGACTTTGACTTCGAAATTCCTCTTCTGTCTTTTCTCTCCTTAAAATCCCTCTCCTCACTACCAAATACTAACGTCATATATAACAGACTCCAACATCCCCGGCGCTGTGCCCCTCGTCCCCAGCCCCTCCACCAACACGACCAATGCATGGAGCATTCCGTGTACAACGCGGTTCACGCTTACAGTCACGTTTGGCGCGTTCACCACCAGCCTTGACCAGTCTGCACTAGTCGGCGCACCCCTCGAGGACGGTTTCTGTCTTGGCGTCTTGGAGGAGTGGGCGGACTCGCGCATTGGACAGTTTCTACTGGGCTCGCCGTTTATTGCTTCTATATACCTGTGAGTGTTTCTTTAGGGGAGAGTTTTCCCCTCTCCTAGTTTTACTTCGCACTAACTTCAATGCAGGATCCTTTCCTATGCCCAATCCGGCGCGGGATCCGTGGGGCTTGCACACCGGTCTGCCTCTAACTCAAACAAGCTGAGCGCAGGCGCGATTGCCGGCGTCGCGCTTGGTAGTGTGGGGGTATTGGCGCTACTCGTCATTGCGGGAGTGCTGCTTTACAACGCCATCCTCGCACGGCGTAGTAGCCCTTCCGCCGTGTATCTTCGCGCGCAAAAGAAGGCCGCAAAGCGGGCTGCCAAGCATGAGACGGTCACGCCCTTCCCACATGCAGACTCGGACGGCGCTCAGTATGCGCGATACCCGGCCCACCTCGGCCCGGCCGGCTCGCCCAGCCCGCGCGCCGCTCTGCTCCCCCCAGGCTCGCCCGACTGGCAAATCGTCAGTGCGGTATCATCGCCCGACACCAACACGTTTGCTGGAGGCACGCGCTTCACGTATCAGACCCTCGGCCCGAATTCCGTGTCCCCATCGCATCTCAGCGTAGAGTCGCGTTATAGCACGCTCGGCGCCGGCTCCGGCGGGCCGACGCAGCGCATCAGCCACATGTACCGTGGGAGCGACGACTCGGGCCGGCCCGTCGCGCACTCTGCCGATTCGTCGCTGTCGCTGCTCAGCGGACAGCATCCTCAAGATTTCGACTCGCCCCCGCCGTACCTCGATGCCAGCGCCAGCAGTAGCAGCGGTGGGCCTGCTGCCGGCCCTGTCCCCTTAGCGCCGCTACGCAAGGGCCGTCGTCTGTCATGACCGTTATGATGTTTTGTTTACTTGCCATATGTCTGTGGTCTGTGACACCTGGAACATTGTACAATATAGTACTTATATATAAAAGTACACTATGAGTAGTTTGTGTAGTGGCCAGTTGTGTACCAAACACCATTGTTCTTGAATTTGTGCTAAGTGTTACTAGTAGATCAGAACAAATAAGTGCGCTGAATACAACATGTCATCCTCCCCCCAGCGAGTTATTTCTCCGTCTCGCTGTGGGATTGGCTCTGCTGTTTGCGACCACGATCTGTTGCTACGGGGACTTGTCCGTCTGCCCGCGAGATCAACGAGAACGACACGGCCTGTGAGAACTTGGTAAGTTTTCTGGGCTTCAACAAGTTGTCGCAGAGTATAAAAGCTTGCAGCGTAGTATGGGGAGTTCTAACGGCAGAGCCGCGATTCAAACTTCTTTCTTCCGATTCCTTCCACTCTTCATCCTTCAATTGACTTCAAATGATCGCGTTCAACTCGAAACTGTGGACATTCGTTGCCCTTGCAATGGCTATGATGTCAACGCACGCAGCACCGTACGTGCTCTGCTCTGACTTGATGATAGTACCTGGTTAACAAAAACAAAGTGCCATGTATGCCTCGAATGGTGTTGCGACGCGTGAGCTCGCGGCCTGTACGCAGTTGTGCGCGTTGCTTGATGGGCTCAAAGCACAGGCTGCAACTGACGGGTAGGCTGAGCTTTTTCGACTCGGGAGGTTTTTATATTTTGATAGAGCGGCAACCGCAGTAACGCGTCGCGCAGCACTGTGCGGGTGTTTCGAGTGAGTGGGGGTGTGTTGAATTGCAAATCTAGGCTTAATGTTTCTCTAGCGATGAGGCAGACTCAGAGGCAACAGACGCAACCGAACCAGGGTATGTGTTTTCTTTGAATAGGTCATGCTAAGACCATAGTTCAAGCACTCCGCCGGTAAATGAGGCCGTTGCGGCTCCTGCCAGTGGAGATGATGATGTAGACACGATTGTGGGGACGAATCTCCCGCCTGGGGCTATTTTCGAGAACGGTGAGGTGTTGGTTTCAAGAGCAGAGTAAGAGGACTGACTATATATGTCGACACCTGTGATAGAAACACTCATTGTATAACCCTACTGAATAAATATACTTTGCTCCAGCTCACCCATAGCCCTTCCCCCTTCCCTTTGTCTCACCCATCGCAAAGGCTCGCAGCTCGCTAAGGCTCGCGCGAGGGCTCGTAGTTATATACCTTTTTTGCAGAGTTACGCTATTTACATACATGATTCTAGTACCCGTCGCGTCTCCTCGCCGCGCGTCCACCTCGCCGCGCCTGCACCTCCCCGATCACCGCGCGTCCCTCTCCCCCTCTCACCGGCTTCCCATCGGCTCGACATCCCCGTGTGTCCTCCCACTCCCTCTACCCCCTCCAACAAAAATGGCGAAAATCCGTGGAGAATTGGCTGAGAACGCCATTTAATGGGGGGGGAGGGACAGCGCACGCGCACGGAGAAGTAGTGTCGGCAGAGTCAAAATCTGTAAAGGATAAGTAAATGAATCAATGAGACTTGAAGGACGCACCAGCATAAGTCATGGCATAGCAGCAAGCCATTTGTTGTCGCCGCCGTCTCGGATTGCCATAGCACAAGACTGAGAAAACAAGGCAGCACCGTCTCAGATGGCGACAGCACCGGACTGAGAAAAGTAACCAGGGCTAGAAACCGGGCGTCCGATTGGACAGAGACTGGCCCTGTCGTCGTTGTCAGAGTATTGTCGATGGGCAACACGACATATATTGTTGAGCCAGCGAGCGTGTCGTTGAAGCACGGGAATCACGAGGGGGGAGTTGGAGACAATGAGCGCAGGCGCCGTCTCGGATCGCGGCAGCACAAAACTGAGAAATAGAACGCCACCCAAGTGGTGTTCGGGTGTGTTCTGGGGGAATGAAGAGCGGGCACAAGTTGGTGAAGGGCGCGAAAGGCTGGGGCGTGGCCAACAAGGGTATGCCGGGAGCGGAGTCGCGATTGAAATCTTGACCAACATGAGCAGCACCACGGCGCGCGCCAAGGCCGCGTTGAAGACTTGCACCCCGGAGTCGTGGTCGTCATGCCAAAATGGTTCGGTAGACCGGAAGGGGGAGGGTTGGCGGCGGGCGGCAAACGAAAGACGGCGGGGGGTGGTAGTGGGTGCTGCGTGGGCCATAACAAGATGGTGATGTAGACCGGAAGGGCATGTATGGGCGGGTGGCGGCGAGCGAAAGATGATGGCGGGAAGAGAGCCGTGCTGGGCATCAAGTTAAGTACGCTGCCGAATCTGGAGAAGATAATCAGTATGAAAATTAAACCCAAGACATTCCAGCTCACCTGCTTGCTACTAGTTGTTGACGGCGCGCGAGAAGAGAGTCGAAGGGAAAAATGTTCCGAATGGTTGAGAGGCGCGGAGTCTTGGATGGAAGGTGGAGTTGAAACGACGAGCGTGCCATTCGCGAACGGAATTGCAGGACTGGCAAAACCCTTAGTCCTTTGAACAAAAGTCTAGCATAACGTGAAGACTCACCAAGCGCGAGCCATTGCCAAATGGCAGCGAACAACGCGTGTCGGGAGACCTCCCGCACGCAGACAAGACGCGACTCAAGCGCAGGGAGGTCGGTGACAAGGAGGTCGGTGACAACCATCGTCAACGCAGGCAGTAGTTTGGCAGCGAGGACAAGACGGCGACAACACACGCACGCAGAGTCCAGCAGAGCGGAGCGTAGTGGTGGAGGCAAGAAAGGTGGTGATATGATTACGTTAGCCGAGTTCACTGTGAGCTTCGCACATGAGGTCAGATAACATGGATCATTAATAAAGGCAGACACACACCTGGAACGGCAGCAAGCAGCTGCCAACGTCAACTTTGAAGCCTAGCTGTTACTCTGGCCTCCGGCGGCAAAACCCCGAAAAAAATAGGCCGATTTAACGCGAATTTTGACGCCAAAAGTGCGCCTGGAAAGTATCGGATGATGGCTATCAGTGATCGGATCACGGCCGGCAGCTCGGCATACGGAGCCCGAGGCACGGACTAGCACCCGGCATGACCGCTACAAAAGACGGGTTAGCTTGCTATGGCCAGCGGGAAAAGGACACACTGCACACAGCAGCAGCCGAGACTTTGAGCCCAGGCGGCTATTACTCGCCTCCGGCGGCAAAAAGTCTGGACAAAAGTGAGTTATTTGCGAGCAGAAAATACACAGAAATGTGCTTACGTAACACCAGATTTGGCGTCAAATTCTGCCTTGGTGCAGCTTGTATTACGCTGGAAATGACATTCAACAAAAGTCCATGCAATAAGAAGATACGCACCTGTCGGTATCGAGCAAACATGCCGACTGTATATGTCGGCAACGTCGCCGCGTTTGGAATCTGGAAGGATGGTGAGTAAGCAGGGGATACAACGCGCGCGCTGGAGGTGAAAAAGCGGCACCTAGCAGGCAGCACTTCGCCAGCAACACGCTGCATTAGTTTGAGAATCTGGACGGAAGTGAGAAATAGGTTGGATAGGAAATAACACGCAACTCACCAAAAAGGCACCGGAACGACAGAAAGGTCTTTGACCCCGAGCAGCAGGAGAGCGGGCCCATCCTGGTTTCGAGTCACTGGGCGGGAATAAGCAACAAGTCAAGGCAAAACGGCTCAAATCTTACCAAACAGCAAGGCCAGCAGAGCGCGCTGCCATGAAAACTCCGTCGAACGCGAAGAAGACTGTCGTAACGACATGATGCCGCGCTGAGCGGACCACTGCATGTGGCGAAGCAACCGTGTTGATACTCTGGGCAACATTAAGCAATACGTGGATAGAAAACAGCAGACAACTCACCAAAAAGGCGCCCAAGGTCCATGCGCCGCGGAAAGTATGGAGGAGCCGAAAGTTCTCTTGATAACGAGCAGCGCAGCATACCATGCTGGGAGTAGACCCGTCTCGGAGGCCAGGGTTTCGAGTTACTGGGCGGAAATAAGCAAAATGTCAAGGGAAACTAGCACATGACTTACGAAACAATGAGGCCTCGGCAATACTTCGCGCTACGCAGAAGCAAACTTCAAGTCCCAGTGTTGATACTGCGGGCAACATTAAGTATCAAGTGAATGGAAAAAAGCACACAACTCACGAAAAGAGCGTGGGCCACAGGAAATATGAGCACGGCAGCAGGCCTTGGCGACGCATGGCTATACGTCTGGCATAGCGCGCTGCGGCAACGTGAGGCTGCGAAAACGGAGGGTAGTGCCGACTTCCTGCAGAAACATTGGCGCGCCGCCAATGCCAAGGTCATATTCTAAGTGGAAGTAAGGAATAAATGAGTGAAAGCAACAGTAAACACACCGAATAGTTGACGCGCGGGAAAAGAGGGCGGTTCAGAAGGCTGACTTGAGGACGGGGTGGTCGAGGCAGTCGCGCGGTGAGTCCTGCGGCCAGTTAGGAACGCGTAGACCGAAAGCAACAGCGAGAGCAGCATACCAGCAAGGTTTATAGCCTGAACGACGCGTTGAGAACGCGCGTGGTGCGAAGGGTTGTTGACGGTACAGAAGAAGAAGGGTCACTGACCGTGACATTCACATTGCCGTTGTGATTTGGCTGAGAAATTACAGCAGGACCCGACGCCGTCGGCGTGATGTGATATCAACGGAGGGTGACGCGCGGCGAGTGACCGCCCGACCTGATGACGGTAATAATTCATTGATTGAGCGTCGGCGGAGACTTAGGCGAGCGGGCGGATGGACGGAGAATGGAGAATTGTATGCGCGGACAAGCGAGGAAGCCCTGGAAATGTTATGGATTGATGGCCGCCTCAGGGTCCAGGCGAGGGCAGCGAGTTCGTCTGGCCCTGCCTGGCCAGATTTTCGAACGATTCTTGGCTCAGATTGGCAGGCTTATGACCTGTTTGCCATTTTGGCCGTTCGACTAGTTTTTGCAACTCATAATCCCTGTCGTTTTTGCGGCCAAAAACCGTCCAACCACTTGTCATATGGCTAGATACTCTTCTTAAATTTCCTTTCCATTTTTTTGTGCACTCATTTGCCGCCTCTCAAGGCATCGCTGATTCAGCTGACGGCCACTACCGATAAGGCAGGTCTGGGTTTTGTCCCCAAATACCGCCGCGATCGGGTGGGGAAATGCGTGGGAAATAATGTTCGAAGCGAATAAACGTTATCCCGGGCTTCATCGCCCGCGAATCTAAGCTCAAATGGACACAATTCAGAACGCGGCTATTTATACTGATAACACTACATCAGCACATCGAGTGCAACGATAGGTTTTCAATTTTTTATGTGACATATGACAACTTATTCTAAGCCTCTCCTGTGCAAAAATGCGTCCTCCCAGCATTTTCTACAGCAATATAGGCGTGATATCTTCAAACGCGCCAACTCAGTTTTGAACCTTGAACACGGCGGAACTGCCCAAATTTCCGCGTTCGCCTACTCTGACAGGTGTAATCTAACGTGGGAAGCATTTCATCGGAGCTCGGAGGCGCGCGATGAAGTTTTATTCCGCAAGGTTTGTTTTTGCCATTCTGTGAATTCACTTGTAAGCCAGGTATATCTGGGCGAGATAGGGTCGGGCATGCCCTGGGCACAGTACTCGGACTCGGCTTCAGCCACCCGATTGCATTGCTGACGGCCTCCCGCTGCAATATCCAAAATCTCGCGATGACAGTTATCTTAAGCGAAAGTCTCATCCGTCTCATATGCCGTTACACAGCGCGTATAAAAGGCTGGACCCTGCGAATCAAGGTCTCATTGCCCTTTCCCTCCTACTATCACAACCCTCAATGTGCTCGTCGTCACCATCATGCTTGTGCTCAACGTTCTCTTGCTGCTGTTGACATACTGACAGTTTGTATCTAGCTACCCCCCGGCATTGTCGTCCTCAACCATGAGCTTCGACATCGTTGTCGGGATATCGAGGCCGTTGTGGCCGTGTCAAGGGCCTTGTTGGGTTCGGTACCGAACTCGATATGTTTCCTTCGAGCTGGTTTGAGTGCCGCATTCCCTGTTTGTAATGACGACTGACCCGACAAAAGACTCTCTGTCGTTGACTGATGCCGCCCAGCACTTCCCGCAAGTCCATCGATGGTGAGTGAAACTTGACTTGGTTTGGAGTCTGGCGGGGTTGCCCGCCAGGCCTGTTGCCCTCTTCTTTCTCGTTCTTGCCGTTGTCCTCAGCGCGGCTTGACAGTGAACTGGCTCAGCGCTTACTTAGACTTCGAATTCGACGAACTCAAATTGTCATTGGAGGGAGATGGTCGTCTATAGTAGTTTGTTGGTGAGTTTGGTTGTTTGCCATGTTGACTGTGCTCACCGACCTTCATTAGTAAGGTTGTTTCCGCTCTCCCTCCCGACGCTGCTCCGCTTTCACCCGCCCTCGTTGTCCTCACCGTTGTTGGCATTTAGCTTGGAATTTGGTGAGTTGGCCGTCTAGATTGTCGAAGACGACGTTGTTGTCAGTGCTGACTGTCGCGTTGGAAGAAAGCAGGACTGGCGCCTGGACATGCATCTTGCTTTGTCAAGATTTGGGTTAGAGTTGGAGGCGGGGAGTTTTGAGGCAGTTGTTGAAGGTGACCTAGTTGCGTTTGCAGTCCCGTTCTTCACGTTGTCTGACTTGTCTTGAAGAATGCGACGGCGAGCGCGCCCGACCCGACCCGACCCGACTTTGTTTTTGGTTTGGCAGGCGCGAGAGCGGGAGACGGTTCGGTTTGCAAATCGGAGCTGGGTCGAGACGACCACGATGCTGGCCAAAGCCAACAGCGCCCGACGTTGACAATTGCCGTTTCCCAAAATGTGCCGACTTGAATGGTGCCAAGGCACCGTTGCCTGCATCTTTTCCCTCATTTTTGCCGTTGTGCTCAGCGTGACTTGACTCGCTCGGTTGTTGAATATAGTCATGCCGACTTTGTTTTGTTCACGGACTGGGGTTGCGGACTTGAGCCGGTTTGGGTTGTTTTGGAGGGAGATAACCGCTCGCTGGTGAGCTTGATTGTTTACAGCACTGAATGTACTCACTGACATTCATTGAAGCCGTCTCTACACCCCCGCTCTCATTTCCCGCCCTCGAACCGGCTCAGCTTGTTTGCAGGCGCGCCCGGACTGGGCAGCGAGCGAATCGAGCTGGGGCAGTTTGCGACTTTTGAAGATTGGCGTTGGAGTCGGAGAAGTCAATCCAGGCATGTTCGTTGGCCTCGTTTTTTCACGTTCTCTGACTTGCCTCGAATCGTCGTTCTTAGAAGGTTGTCGTCTTTTCGGCAGCATTTGTCAGGTCTTGCTGGTCTTCCTGCCGCTCAAGCGCGCCAACTACCGATCGCAAACGTGAGTTTCTGCTCATTTCCATCTCCCGACACACTCACCTCGGTCGCAGAATAGTATTGCTGTCGCTGCCAAAGACAGCGCCGCCCCGTGGTTCATTGTCGTCGAAGTAAGTGTTCCCCTCGCATCCCGTCTTGCTGATTGACTGGATTAGGACCAGTTTGTTGTCGTCGTTGTGCGCGGGGACTGCAGTCGACACAGCCTTTGTCGGCGATAACAGGCGCATTCGCGAGTTGATGATGAATCGCCGTGCCGTCCCAGCCCGTAGTAGCCAGTTGTGAGGTTGCCCGAGGGAAGCCGGAGAGACACCGGCATAAGTTTCCGGGGCGGTTAATGCTGCCGTTGGGGCCGGAGAGGCCAAGGCGCTGGGTGAGCCGGACTCCATACCCTGCCGCCATGTCCCCGAGATTTGAGGCGCGCATGCCGCTTCCGCTTGTGGAAGGCAGTTGTGGTCTCAGAGGCCGACTGTGCTTGCGTTGACGATCGAGATGGGGAAGAAGAAGAAGAGATGCGAGTCACGAGGCGTGTGACGGCACGCGCAAAAGTGAGCAAATAATAATATTCTACCTGATACAACGTTCATACTGACGACTATTCTACCAGACCTGAATCCATTCCTTCCTCCGCTGGCAAAGGTAAGTTAGCATAAAACTTTTTGATTGATTTTGCTTACGTCGTTATCAGGTCGAGCGCGTTGTCCTCTGCGCTTGAAGTTGTTAGATGATGCCTGCGCGGGCCTCCACCGAGCCCACAAGCAGCACTGAGGACAAGTAAGTTTGTCATATTACTTTGTTCATACTTGAATCCTATAGGTTCACTATCAGTGAGCATCTCAACTGCTCGCGCTTGCTGTTGCAGCACCCATCGTTGAGCTCAGACTGAAGTCTGATGCGAGGACTCAGAAACCTGCGCGTAAGTGTCTGTTTGGACAAATACCCAAGTACCATGTTCTGATTCTCCTCCTGTTCGACAGCGTCTTCGCAAGGCTCAAGATTCAAGTGAGTCGGCCGGTGACAGCAAATGGGAAAGGATCTTACCCAGTTGTTTAGCTATCCGTTGGCCCAATTCGCGTTCGCTGACCGTGATAAACGGCCTTTAGAAGACCAACTGGAGGTAAGTGAATTGTTAGAGCGGACAAGAATGCAGCTTACCTGGTCAGTGTAGTGTTCTTGCCCAACGCAAGCTGTTTAATACTACTGCGCGTTTGGTTTTCGCAGGGATTGTCTCGACGTTGCGATTGCTAAAGCTGATGAATAGTAAGTTGATCGCCGTAAACGATGAGTTGGGCTTCTTTGGGTGTAGCGTTGTCGCTGCCAGTGGCCGCCTACGGCAAGCAAGGTAAGTTTGGGATTGGTCTTAATGTCTGGCTTGACTTACCACCTTTACAGCGCACTCCCCCACCGTTTGCCCCAACGGACTTGCTCTTTGTAGCATGTTCTGCCGAGCCGGGCTGGTTTTGGAGCTTTGATGATGGTAGTGAATTTGCCATTGCGAGCACCATGTCGACTCGTTTGGGCTATCTTATGTAAGAGTTGCGGGGAAATTGCGTTGCTGGGGTTGTGAGTATAGCCTCTCTTGCCTCTAATCACGACTGACCTGACATAAGACCCATTCCCCCGACTCGTTTGGCATCGTCGGCATAGTTGTTGTTGAAGTTGCGCCAAGGTCTTGTGCGAGATTGGTTAGAGATAGCATTGACAATGAGCCAAGTTAAGCTGGCATTACCTTTGAGTTTGCCTGAGCGGACTTGGCTTTATCTTTTGGAAGTGAGTCAATTATCCCATTTGCAATCCTAAAGACTGACCGGATTCAAGACGCACAATGTTCTCGTTGGGCCTGAATTTGTTGGATGCTCCCGCCATCGCTTCTCCGAAGTCGTTTGCGCGCGCGTTGCTGGGTTTGGTGTTGACGCGTTGGCTGCTTTTAGGTGAGTGTCGTATTTCCTGCGTTACACCCCGAGGACTGACCTTACAAAAGACCCTTGTCATGACGCGCATCTCGTTGTCTTCTTCGAGGCCGTTGCGGCCATTGTCGGTGTGTGTTCGCCGTTGGTGACGGTGGTATCGACTGACTTGTCTTCCAGTTTCGTCTTGTCGTCTACGAAAACCAAGGTATAAGTTTGGGATTGGTCTCAATGTCTAGCTCAACTTACCCGTTACCCCAATAGTTTGCACAAGCAGACTTGCTGTTTGCTGAACCGTGACCGGGCTGGTTTGTGTCGATTGCGTTGTCAGCGGCCTCTGTGACGCCAAGGTCAGTTTTGTATCCCTTTCAATGTCTAAGTCTACTTACGGACCATTCAGCCGTTTGCCTCAGTTGTCGCAAGCTGTCTTGGCCAAACGGGACGAGGAGCGGAACGCTCGGTGAGTTTGCAGCCATCTTGTCGTTGGTGCCCACTGACTCGCCTCAGACGGCATTGCCAGGCTCGTGGTTATGGCGCAGCGTGAAGGAATTGGCGGGCCGGAGTTGTTGATGTTGTGTTAGCGCGTTGGGGTGCGTGCTGGCTGGGGAATGTCAGCTTCCGCCCGCTCGCTCGCTTTACGTAGCTCCTACCAAGAAAGCCGCTTTGCGTTGTCGGCTTGCAGGTCCTCATTGTCGGGACAGTGAGGTTGCCGGCATTCGAGACGGGGTGGACAAGGATGAAAAGCTCCGCGCTGTTGTAGCCAGAGTAGTAGTTTGTTGTGTGTGGGTCATCATGGTTGTTTCGGACAAGAAGTCTGTGTGGCTGTGGACCGGCCGACGCCGCCCGGCGTTGCGACACCATCTCCATCTCGCTGCGCACAGGCAAACCGTTGTATCGCGCCTGCACTTGAGCCCAGTCAAACAAGCTAAGCGCAGGCGCCATTGCCGGCGTCGCGCTTGGGTATTGGCGCTACTCGTCATCGCGGGAGTGCTACTCTACAATGCCATCCTCGCACGACGTAGCAGCCCTTCCGCCAAATCGTCAGTGCGGTATCATCGCCCGATACCAACACGTTTGCTGGAGGCACGCGCTTCACGTATCAGACCCTCGGCCCGAATTCCGTGTCCCCATCGCATCTCAGCGCAGAGTCGCGTTATAGCACGCTCGGCGCCGGCTCCGGCGGGCCGACGCAGCGCATCAGCCACATGTACCGTGGGAGCGACGACTCGGGCCGGCCCGTCGCGCACTCTGCCGATTCGTCGCTGTCGCTGCTCAGCGGACAGCATCCTCAAGATTTCGACTCGCCCCCGCCGTACCTCGATGCCAGCGCCAGCAGTAGCAGCGGTGGGCCTGCTGCCGGCCCTGTCCCCTTAGCGCCGCTACGCAAGGGCCGTCGTCTGTCATGACCGTTATGATGTTTTGTTTACTTGCCATATGTCTGTGGTCTGTGACACCTGGAACATTGTACAATATAGTACTTATATATAAAAGTACACTATGAGTAGTTTGTGTAGTGGCCAGTTGTGTACCAAACACCATTGTTCTTGAATTTGTGCTAAGTGTTACTAGTAGATCAGAACAAATAAGTGCGCTGAATACAACATGTCATCCTCCCCCCAGCGAGTTATTTCTCCGTCTCGCTGTGGGATTGGCTCTGCTGTTTGCGACCACGATCTGTTGCTACGGGGACTTGTCCGTCTGCCCGCGAGATCAACGAGAACGACACGGCCTGTGAGAACTTGGTAAGTTTTCTGGGCTTCAACAAGTTGTCGCAGAGTATAAAAGCTTGCAGCGTAGTATGGGGAGTTCTAACGGCAGAGCCGCGATTCAAACTTCTTTCTTCCGATTCCTTCCACTCTTCATCCTTCAATTGACTTCAAATGATCGCGTTCAACTCGAAACTGTGGACATTCGTTGCCCTTGCAATGGCTATGATGTCAACGCACGCAGCACCGTACGTGCTCTGCTCTGACTTGATGATAGTACCTGGTTAACAAAAACAAAGTGCCATGTATGCCTCGAATGGTGTTGCGACGCGTGAGCTCGCGGCCTGTACGCAGTTGTGCGCGTTGCTTGATGGGCTCAAAGCACAGGCTGCAACTGACGGGTAGGCTGAGCTTTTTCGACTCGGGAGGTTTTTATATTTTGATAGAGCGGCAACCGCAGTAACGCGTCGCGCAGCACTGTGCGGGTGTTTCGAGTGAGTGGGGGTGTGTTGAATTGCAAATCTAGGCTTAATGTTTCTCTAGCGATGAGGCAGACTCAGAGGCAACAGACGCAACCGAACCAGGGTATGTGTTTTCTTTGAATAGGTCATGCTAAGACCATAGTTCAAGCACTCCGCCGGTAAACGAGGCCGTTGCGGCTCCTGCCAGTGCAGTCGACGCGGACGATGATGTAGACACGATTGTGGGGACGAATCTCCCGCCTGGGGCTATTTTCGAGAACGGCGAGGTGTTCACACAAGATGCAGAGGGCGTCTTCCGAAATGATCACAGCGACACGCGCGACGAAGTTGCGGCGGGCCTGGCGAATCTGCAGACCAGCGCGTGAGTGCTTTGGTATCGATATCTGATTAGGAGGAATTGATTTGTTGGTAGGGATTTGATCTTTTGAGGTATGGTGTGGGTTATTACTTAGGTGCTAAGGTAGCTCGATTTGAATGGAAAGTATTGTTTCGAAAGATCCGAGTAAGCCAGCTTGACATCTAGGAAGCCTTGCGAGTGTTGAGTTAGGAGCAGTCCATATCGTGCAGCGAAACTGTCAGAAATCGGCAAGGTTTAGCACGATAGAATTCACGGCTGTGGACATATATATTCAGTCCTCTTACTCTGCTCTTGAAACCAACTGTTCGACGATCTCGACTGCCCTCTTGAACTTGTCCTTCTCCTCTTGCGTCGGTTGGACCGCACTTGTTGAGCGTCCACATCCTGCAGGGCCACCGTTTCGCCATTCCAGATCATCGCTGCCCCAAGTGATTGACGTGTCCAGCGCATATATATCCTCGCAGCCGGGCGGAGATTCAAGCGGGAGTGACTTGAGAATGCTTTGGAGTTCGTCGACGAGGACGGTGATTTCTGTGTCTGCATTCAGCGTCTTGGGGACGGCATCTCCGAGAACGCGTGTTCCTGGTGTCCGCTCTGATTTCGTGATCGCCAAACTCGGAGCTTGAGCAGTTTGTGTGATTGTGAAGACCGCAGTTGGCGCAGGGGGCACGAAACCGCCGGTAATACCTATAGATGAAGGTTTAAGGCAAGCTTTAGGACGTGGGAGAAGCTCACCGCGCTGCAGCCGGACGTAGTACTCGGGAGGAGTCGGCATGGTGGTCAAGAGGAAAGGGCTGGGCTGATGTCAGCAAACTCTTCGCGGACACGTGATGTGGGTGTCCGCGTGTAGGTTGGGGTGCATTTAGCATTCGGAAGCACACCTGTCGTTTTAATAGTCGTGGCCCGTCATACGGGTGAGCACAGGACACTATCGAGCAGATAGCTGCTGTGACGGTGTGACATTCAGCTATTGACAGTTGAACCGGAACCACCATATTCCTCTTCAGAATTGTCCGCCGTCTGGCACCCATCTTCGTCGCTGCTTGCGTCTCTAGGCTGGTACTAATAGGTGGCATTGACTCTCTTCCCGTGTCTGGCATTGCTGCTATTGGCCCTCCGGGCCCTCCCTCTCTTGAGCCACTCGCATTCTCTTTCGTTGTCTCCCCAACTAAAGCTGAACCGTTAGCCACCAGCCAAGTCAAGCACTCCACAACGATTTTCCTCTCGTCATCCCCGCAACTCGCGCCACCGATTGCTACCGACAGCCTGAGCACACGACTTTCCTGCTTATTCAGACCCGCAACTTGAACAAATGCCACGCTAGCGCTCGCGACCGGCTCTGTTTGTGTTTCGACAACAGCTTCGTCCCCTGCGTCCACTATAGCCAACGTTGTCGACCTGCTTAGCCCACCGCCGCGCTACCGCTCGCCACTGGTCCAGTGCACAAGAGTCAAGCATTCGATCAGGAACATGCCACCAGGATGACCGAGACTAGGATCTTCAGGGCTCTGGGTTTGTATCAGTATTCGAAATTTTCGTTTCGGTTGTCCTGCTGCCATTCTATAAAGGGAGGGGTCCCGTTCCAGTTGATTCTACTCCAAGTATTCAAGACTGTTGTCGTGTTGCTTGTCTCTCAAGTCCCAGTTGTTGCTGCCATCTCTCAAATCACTATGTTCTTCTTCTTGCAGCAACTACTTGACTACTTCTTTGCAACAATGGGAGCTTTTGCAAGGCGGGAATGCTGGAGCGCTAAGTTTGTCATCAACTCGGAGGTGTTCGACCAGGTATTGACTGGGTTTCGTTTGTCTTATTTTGACCATTGTTGACCCGCCTCTAGTCCAATGACGCGGGTTCAATTTCACCTTCTTGTGGAAACCCAAACATTATGCGTCAACTGGCCGCGAAACTCACTATATGTACCACGACCACTCACTAATGAGGCGAATCCCTAAATTCATCTCCTCCACCCCCATCAACGGCTGATTCGAAGATTGCTCCGACGCTAGCGATGAAACTGGCAATGGTTATACCGACACGGTATAACCGCATGGTCTTCAAAAGGAAGAAGGCCGGAAAACGATGACGAAGGGGGCAAACTCAGACCTTTTTATTTTCTTTCCAGCACACTGGCAGGCAAACCGTGGTGTCGCGATCAGTGAGGGACGCCTCGTTCATCGCACGTTCAACATCGAGATTCCGGTCTTGAGGGGAGACGGTCAAGGCGGAATCTCGTTGGGAAAGAGAAAGGTTCAAGGCTTAATCATTGCTCTATCTTATCACTAGCTTTATATCTTAGTCATGGTAGTACTGTCGAGCTGAGTTTGCTTTGTGGAATAGAATGATCAATTTAAGGCAAGGGGAAGACACTACTAAGTGATTACTCAGTTCGTTAAACTGACTATTAACCGGCAGCTCAATCCACCACCGTCGATATGTAGAGGCAAAGTCATAGTAGTGTCAGAGATTACTAGTACTGTGCACTACCAAGCTCAGGTTCAAGTCAAATTGTATAAGCTAGCGGGCGCACTCAATCGTTTGGATCCATTGCGTGTACTGCAGGTACCTGGAAGACTTTTCAGTGCGCTAAACATCGAGGACCTGGGTGGTGAATGTTGGTAGACGGGTTGATCACATCAAAGTTGATCAAGGCTGTCGCTCCCTTTGCTTGTTCGTTCCCGCCCTCTTGTGCTACCCTCCTATCTCTAGGGTCTCTGCCGCCAACGAAACCTCGTGGGGGATGGTATGACCTCAGAACCGGCCTCGACAAACGACGACCAGAGAATTGGCGCTGAACAACGGCATGAAGGGTCGGCTGGAGAAGTGAATGGGGCAGAGGTGGAAAGGCTTCATCATGAGCAACAGGCGGAGCCAGAAGGTGTCTCCGTGGCGAAGGACGCGGCAGAAATGGGGAAAGGGGAGGAGAAGAGGGTATCAACAACCTGGCCTGGTGGACTTCCGCCTAGCCCGCCATTAACAAGGTCTAGTCTGGAAGTGGATAGTCGAATGGACGCAGACGACTTCTCACCTACCGTCGAAGGCCACCAGTCACATGCTAAAGTCAAGCTAGACAGCGACGACGACAATTCGGAGGATGACGACGAGCCAAAGCCATCATCGACTGCAGTTCCTCGCAAACCCTCACGTATAGATTTGGACGCGAAGCTGGAGCCGCAACCTTGGGACCTTGTCGAGCCGCCTCCTAATAATAATGCTGGACCCGCAACTAATGGAGAGTACTACGCTTCACTCAGTGGAAGGAAGTACAATACCCTGTCTTCTGCGTGCGTATGAAGTGTCATGAGACGAACTCAAAAAAAACTAAACAAAGGCGTCTTTAGGCGAGCAAAAGCGCTGATACCCAAGTCTTCTTACTATTTTGGGCCACCCCCTTCAGACTCGGCTTATGGAACACGACCTGTGGGGCAGATCGGCCTCCATCATCCACGAGAAATACTTCGTGTCGAGCGAGACTATACCGGTGGAGAGTTGATTCAATTCGCTCCCATTTACCCTCTCGAACTTGAAGGACGGGTCAGCTCGGCGTGTTGACTGAAACGGACTTGCATTGACCGTCCTTCTTAGATTACTCCAACGCAGTTCCTCGAGTCGATTAACGAGATAAACGAAGTACTCATCTCGGCACATAGTCTTCGACACTCGTTTCTCGACAACATGCTTGCTGTATTCACGTTGCAGCTCTCCCGAGCGGTTCTCGCCTCACATTATGACAAGGTCTGGGTTGCAAAACTTCTGAGAAGTGGTTCTTGTCGTTCTGATTGGGCTCTTTAGGAGATGCGTCGCCTAGAAACACTCATACGCGACCTCAATGTGGAGGTATATAATCCTGTGGGCCTCAATATTCTGTGGCCACGACGGGTGGCTTTCCTCTTTTGTGTGTCTCGTTTATTCTCCCGATACTTTCGTTGACTGACCCGAATTCTCCCTACGCATAGCTGGAGATTGAGTACTATGTGAGCGAGATTCTCCGCGGTTTTTCTGATTTCAGAAGCTAATCGGTGATCAGTGATTTTCGCAGACCCGGTGTCCTGGCCCCAAACCGAGTTACCCGTTTTACCGATACATTCGGAAAATGTTTCTTGAGGCTTTCCTTCCACTCCCTTCATTGCATCCACACATCTGTATTTCTGCACGGGATAGCGCTAGAACAAATCTAATTCTCTGCATATTTTCTCTCCGAGTCGCCATAGGATACTTCGAGGTCTATGTACGATGAGTGCGGACCCGCTTCTCGAGTCAATCGGCGGCGCGTCGTTGCCGAGGCCGCGCGTCTCCCCATAACCGAGCCAGCCCGTGACACGTGCCATGATTCGGGACGACTTTCGCCCCCAATCGCATCATTTGGGAAAAACTTGTTCCAATTTGGATCGTCCCGGAAGTGTCCACCCGTGACGATATTGGTGTTACGCGTGACGGTGGGATTTGTAAGGCTCTTGCTCGCTCTCCACGACCGCCCAGAGAGCCCGAACAAAGTACTAGAGCGTACAATCCACTCCCGCCGCCGAAACCGACCACACCGAACTCATGGACTCATACACCGATATGTCTCCTCTTTGGGACCTGTCCCAGCCGACCAATTTCTCTCAACTGCCCGACGACGACTTCCTCGCCCTGCTCCAGAAGCAATTCCCAACTGGTCAGCCCACACACCCGTATTCCGTCGACTTTGGCCTTGATGGCACCGGCGTCAACCCTCAGTCGATTTCGCATTACTCCCTCCCAAGTCTCACTCCGCCCTCGGCGGATAGCAGCCCTAGCCCGCCCGAAGAAGACAACTCTCTCAAGCGGAAAGCCAGCGCAGACGATCTCGAGGAAGGGCCAAGCAAGAGTCAGCATACACGTATGTCTCTTTCAAAGCTTGTTTGGTCGTTATCGGTGGCTGCAACTGTTGTCAATAGTGAGCAACGGCAAGAAAGGCACTGCAAGACGCAAATCTTCGGGCAACGGACCTGTGCGTATAAACTCAGGCCGGATGAAGCACATGCTGATCCCTTGTTTCAGGACGATGCCCGCTTAATGAAGCGCAAGGAGCAAAATCGAGCTGCGCAGCGCGCCTTCAGAGAGCGTAAGGAGAAGCATGTCAAGGATGTGAGTTGTATTGCCCAACGGCTTTTCAATTTTTTTTGATCCTAAATTATCGACCTAGCTTGAAGACAAGGTTGCCGCTCTTGAAGCCAAGAATGATCAAGCTAGCTCCGAGAACGAAAACCTGCGCGACCTCCTTGCTCGTCTACAAAATGAAAATGTAATGCTCAAACAAAAGCAGTCGCAGCAGTTCACCTTCTCTGTACCGAAAGGTCAAGGAGCGTCAGCGGCCTCCGCCGCCACCGCTGCCGGCAGATCCCCGGCAACATCAATATCGGCTGCTTCCCCTTCCACCTCTGCTCCCAATCCACTTGATTGGAGCTCGCTCACCGCCTTTGATCCGGCCGTGCTTAACCTACTGGATGATACGCCTCAGCAAACAGCGACGGACGATGCGATGAAGATGAATTTCGGCTTTAATCAACCCGTTGTACAACAACAAAAACCGAGTACAAGCAGCGCATTGAGCAATGCTCTTTCGAGCTTTACCACCATCGCATCCAACCCAATGTTCACGTCCTTTGCTTCTGCCTTCGACATGACACCACCGCATCACACCATGACCCCAGGGTCTTCGTCCGCAGTAGCGAAAACTTCGTCGTCATCGAAAGCGACGCCGACAACAACTGCATCCGCCAACACTACCCCTTTCAGTTTTGATATGCCATCTTCGCTGTCTGCGTGGTCAACCCCGAATCCAGACAATACGTTTGACGACCTGTTCGGTGGTATCATGGGTTCCGCTATTGATTTCAACGAGTTCAATGTGCTTATGCAGTCGCCGAACTCATCGATCAGTCCTGTTACTCATCATGCGACGCTCAACAGCCAAGCGGGTGGACATTCACCAGCCAACTCCACAACTTCGTCCCTATCATCACGATCCTCCGATCCGCTCTTCAACACTCCGCGTGAATCAAGCTCCGATTCAGATTTTGACCTAGACGGACCCAAGGAGTGTCCCAAGAGCAAAGACGAGTTGCGTGATCATATTTCGAGTTCAGGGTCGTCAGTCTTTGCACCCGATACGACGCCCTCCCTTCGCAAGGCAGAGTCGTCTGTCATGTGTGAAGGCTCAGCCTTCCCATCAACACAAGCCAGCGACAGTAATCTGGAGATCTTGGATGCCTGGCGGACAGTGACATCTAATCCACAGTTCAGGGTAAGTTTTCTTTCTTCTGTCGAAATTCATTTTTGTTCAATCGCTTCTTACCAGGATTCTGATATCGCTGAACTGTGTTCCGAGTTTTCGGCCAAAGCTCGCTGTGATGGGACCAAAGTCGTCTTAGAGCCGCATGGTGTGCGTACGATAATCGAATCGTTGACGCAAAAGCATAACCGTGGCAGTCTGTAGCGTCGGGGGTGAACCCCTCCGAACTCTACTAGCTGCTGCAGCTACCATTGCATGCCACCATACCCTCATCGCATTGCATAGACCATGATACGACGACTCTCTCCCTCCCTGTTTTATCGAATTCCTCTGTATCCAACAATAAACCAAGCCCGGCAAACGGTGGGGGGTGAGCGGTGTGTTACATAATCTCTGGTGGGTGACGGCGTCGTGGAATGTCTCTGTATCGTTGGCCTGCAAGGTGTAACTTTAGACAATCTCTTCTTCTTCCACCTCATATAAAGCCCAAAAACCGTCCAGGTACCATATCATTATGCCACCTCCCTTAACCTAGTCCATCTACTACCAGTACTTTTCTTGTATTTTTGGTTCTTCGCTCGTAAGTACAACAGAAAAAAAAATCAAATACTTGTTCTATCGCCAAATTTCTACTAGGCATAGAGTCTCGTACCTGAGGATGGTGTGGAAGTTTGTGAATGGATAATCCAAGAAAATCAATTTACATCGAAATTCACTCCAATTTTTTTTGCTGAGACTGACGCTGCTAATAAGCTCCAAACTTTTAAGGCCAATTCAAAGTTTCTGAAGGCTGTTTTTCGCAGCTGGACATAAAGATTCACCTTGCTTTGCAAGGTCCCTCCCCGGTCTATATTCGCCACATCATGATGTGTTGATGGGTCTGCAGCCAAACAACACCAAACTCTACCCGAACCAAAAACCCCCAAACCTCCGTAGTTTCCTCGGGGAATCTCTTCACTGCCACTGATTTGTCACCGGACTTTTGTCATCCTTATGATTCTGATGGTGAATGACAGTATCTTGGAAAACTCATAGAAAACTATGAGATATACACTTGTATATAGCCTTATATATCAGGAGTTCATATGAAAATAATTCTAATTATACTTTTTCAGTCTGTTGTCCCAATTGGGTAAGATTAATTTTGATGATCTGTTGTCTTGGCTCAGTCTGGATTAGGTTGAAACAGAAGTTATCTGATGGATTTGATGATATCATAGTTCTTCTATGCTTGCACTTCATCCTTGATAAGTTTTTTAGAAAAATATGCAAAGTCCTTTATTCTATATAATAGAACTACTGCAATAATAATAATCAATTAAAATGGTATTTTAAGTGTAATATTCAATACAAAAAATTAGAATTAAAATTATTTTACGATTGGGAAGTTTTTGGCATTATATCCACCCAGAAATATCATAAATTACTATTTTAGGCACAGGAATATAAATAAAATGACATGACATATGAGAAATTTGGATAATATTGGCAGTGTGACATGTGACATGTAAACTGAATGAAATCATATTTTATTCAATTTGTTAGGGCCTGAAGGCTATGATATGCCTAATGAACCTGGTAATTTTGATGCCTCCAGCACCAGAACAGAGGAAAATTGCCTCATTTGGATGTCTTTAAGGAAAATATGAGTGGATGAGTGTGACTGATAAAAAAATTAACAGATTGATGTGCATATCCACTTGTTGTTTCATATTAGAATGAATAGTCCACTCAGGCTGTGGTAGGTATCACTTGTCAAGCTTCGGATCAGGCCATACAAGGCTTCTCCTGAGAAGCACATGTCTGGAACAGAACAGATGGATTGTCGGGCCCACAAGCAGACCAAGCAGGGTCGAATCAAACCAAAAGGGCCGTCTTGTCATGGATAAGACCTAGCCCGTCTGTTCCAGCGCTGGTGTCAGGCCATTGCAGGTCTGTAACACGCAGTACGTAACAACGGGGAACAGGCACCCCAGTAGGGAGGAACATACATATGGGAAGTACGTGACTGAGAACAATATGTCAGGCTGACACTAGTGATTGTCACGGGTGGTGTGACCCACCGCAGGCTGCGGGGACGGGCCTCCTTGGGTGCGGGTACGGGCTTGCCTCCCAGAATTTCCAGGCCCGCACTCAGGCTTGCGGGTCTTGGCTGTTGGAGTGCCGAGCCGCCGGACACTCCAGGGCCGGGAGCTGGGACAGAGCTTGGCACTCTTCCAAGTGACAAGCAAGATCTCTGATATGCAGGAGGCATCAGAGATCTCCTTGTCGCCAGCGAAGGACCACCTGACCGCCTTAGGTGCCCATGGGCCGACAGGATTATAGGCTACCCGAGGCCCGCATCTGAAGAGACGGATACCCGCACCCATGCTTGCGGGTACGGGGCGATGGGTACGGGCCACCCTATGATTTCTTGCAGGTGGCCCAGGACAATCACTAGCTGACGCCAAGCCCAACTTGCAGTACAAGGGGGATTGGGGAGGAGTGATAGGAGGCTAGGAGTAGCGCCTGGCCTGCAAGAGATGCCTGTTCCCCGTTGTTACATGCTGTATGTTGTTGGCCCTCGGTGGCTTGACACTAGTGCATGGGCCGGGTCTTATCTGTGACATCACTCAGCTTATGTTTTATTGTCACACACTTCCTCTTTATTGCTCAACTTTCATGTTTCCCTTAACTATAGTATTTTAATCAAGTGTCTGTGTTACATGTTACACAGCAAAAAAAACTCGTTGAAAAAAAATCACTAAAATTAAAATTAAAACTTTCAGCCTTTTCAGGCACAAAAAAATTAAAACAGTTGACACTTTCCAATTGTTACTTTGAGTGCAATGGTATTATGGCAATTTACTTGGGCCACTAGGAATTGTCAAAAAATTCTCCATTCTATTATTTTTTTGTGCTAGAGAGCCTCAGTGCTAGGGCTAAACAAACAAATGGAAAAACAATATGACACAAGTTTGTTTATGATTAAAAGCTGCATAATAGCTAAAGAAAGGACCAAATCAAGGGAGGCCCAAAGCAAGGTCCAAGTCGGCAAGGCCGGCACCTAGTGAGCATTCGATGACAAAATGATCTCTCGTGACGCGATCACTTCCCTGTCCCAAACCACCACCTGGCCACTTATCTTCTGGCTGCACTCCATGGCCCTGCAACACTAGCAGCATGGACCTGTATGTTCAGTGAACTCCTCTATACCCTCTCGTGCTCATTCCTTAGGCATATAGACAAGAAGCCCAGACTCGAAGAATGTAACCCGATTACTGAATATGAGGAGGACGAGGAGTTGCTGCAAGACATCAAGGCAGACATTGACCTAGAGATTGGTCTCAGACAACGCCTGCTCACAACTGTGGAAGCGCGAATAGAATGGGCAGAACTTCTTTGTCAGGCATTAGAAAGTGTGTTAACTTTATAGCCGGATTACATTATTGCTGACGGCTGTGTTGCAGGCGACAACCTTCCTGACGGTCAGGCGTTTGGCCCAGTGCATGCGCTTGTGCTCATGATGATATTCAGACTTGGCAGCAACGATAGACTTCAAGAGTGCTGCTCTCAATGCATTTTCTGCCATTGAAGCGCCAATAGAGGTCCTCTTTTCGCGCGACGTTCCTGCCCCTTCCCTCCATACGCGGCCTGTCACTCGCAAGAAGCCCACTCTGCGCACCCAGCTGCCCAAGAAATCCGTCAAATTTCTGTATACTTTCCTCGATAATAGTGCAGCACCCAGTATTCTTCGTTGTCCACTATGTTTCCGGACCGACTTCAACTCCCTTCAGGGACTGTTCAACCATGCGCGGGGAACCCACGACCTCGGCTGGAGCTCGCATGAAGAGTGTGTGCGACATTGTGCTTGTACCCCAGAAGAACTCGATGACCCCGGCGTCGACTTCACCAATCTAGAGCTAGGGTCCGAGGTCAGCTTTGGCTCGGGCGGTATGGGCTTGCGCGGCATCTTCGAACTGGCTGTTGGTGGGGATGCTCCACTGGATTTCGAAGGAGAGACCGCCTTGAGCAGGACATTGGGCTTACACTCCCAGACACCAGCCCTTGCCTCTTTTCTCGGGAAACAACCCATCCGACGGGGTGTTACGGTCTGGGACCCAGAGGCCGATGTTGATATTGATGGAGCCGGCGACGATACCAGGACCTCATCTTCAAACCGTCGTTGGCGAATGCCGTTTTCTCATCGAAATGTATTCAAAGACATGCCCGTCATCTTAGACCCTCTTCCTGCACCGCCAGCAACAGATTCAGCCACAACTGCTACTGCAGAAACTCGTTTTCACGTAACGACCCGGGTTGTCGTAGCTGATCGTAGTCTCTGGATTCCAACAGGTAATAAATGTTCCGCGTGTAAATATCCTACTGAGTTTTCGTAGAAGCGCGAACCATGACAGACACTCACAAATGGATGATTTCAATCGATGCTCCTTCTTATGCTCGCCATATTACGACCGTCCTTGAACGTTTGGTTGTGCATGGTCCCACCGGTCAACTGTCTACCACCTCGCCTCCTTATGTTATAATTGGAACTGCGCGCGAACCATTCTTGGCCAAAATCGAGCTCTATGTTGGTGCCTCAGAGAACAAGCTTCCTCAACAAATTATGCTCGAGCATTGGGTTGAGGTATTTCTACCAATCTCCATATCCTCGAACCGTTCTGAATTACAGATATTTTAGCTTGACGGCATGCAAAGCCGGAGCGTCGCTTTTGGCGAGGAACAGATGGTCGACCTTGACCTTCATCGTACAACTGTCTTCCTCCCCCAAAGAACTGGATATATTCCTGTGCATTCTAGGGCTTTATGGGACATGGACATTGACAGGGATCGGCGGACGACTTTAGAAGCAGCCAGCGTCCTACCACCAGTTGATCTATCGAGCTCGAAGGACCCAAGAAATCGGACTCGCAATGTCACTCTCCCGAAAACCAAGATGCTTGGCAGTATGTTGTTGTTTACCGTTTTGCGATGATTCATCGAGAATGGTTAGGCTGGGAGAATGCTCTACGTGCCTTGCTCGAACGATTTCCACTGACCTTGCAAGGTTTCTGTTCTTGTTTGTTTCCTTGTTCTTGCTAAAATCCTAGAACAGATGTGAAGGGAGGCAAGACACCAGTCCCAGCACTTCCGTACCGTCTTGTCACTACTCCGAAGAAGTTCTCCAGCTTAGTGTTGGGTCGAAGGAAAGCCATCGAGGTGATTTATAACTTGCGGATCAGAAACCATACTTAGGATTGTAGTGGGGTCGCTCAGCAGCAATGTGTGCCGCTTACAATGAGGCCTTGAAATCTGGACTCACCGAAGACACCACTGTGCTCACTACAGCCGATGTTTTCTCCTGGCTGCACACTAATGGTCATTTCCCTCGCGGAGCTGCTGCTATCAAACACGAGCAGACGATGCAGAGCTACAAAGTCGCATTCTGCTCTGTTTGCGGGCTGTCCTTCCGAGCTCATTGTGTTGCGGTCGAGGGAACGCAGTCGCAGACGATGGAGTCGTTCACAGAGGGTTCCGAATGCAAAATCATTACAGCCGAGTGGCGGGTTGCGCGGATGCCGATGGTGGATGCCCATCGAATACTTAAGCGACGGCCAGCCTCGACTTTACCATCCGCGTCGCAAAGTCCAACCTCACCACATTCGTCAGAACCCCCAGTTCTGCCTGTGCCCGCTCCTAGGAATGCCAATAATGAAAACTGGGACTCTCGTTCTGCACGCCTTGCGTTGACTGCTGACCCGCATCTGGTCAGAGCTATTTGTCGGCAAACAGAACGACTTGGTCTTCGCACATTTCCTTCCATTCGACAAATCTTTCAGGACTATCCTCTCCCCGTGAAAATGCGCACCGATATTGCCCCACACGCGATGTTGGCCATTACTCTGAAGCCATTTATCCGTGCCCTAATCAATACCGCCCTGGCTGTGTCCACTCAGGACAACACCCTCGCCCGCCAGTTGGCGCAGGTCGAACAACGAGGAAAGCGGAATCTGTCCGCTCTAGAGCCGTTCGCGACGAAACGGATGTTGATGCCCTCGCATGTGCTGAGAGGTGTCGTCGGGCGGAGCTGGGACTGGTCGGATCAATCCGGCATGGCGATTATGGGCGTCGTTTCCCGGTTGGGAGTCCCGCTTGAACGGCCGCCAGGTTCAGCGCCGGCCGTGCCTCCAGTCGCTACGACACCGATGCCGCGACAATTGGTTAAGCCCCAACCATCAAGGCTGGTGGTTGGCAACGGTCCCCGGCCTCCTGCGGGAAGCTATATCGTCTCGCCGTCTTACTTCAAGACAGAACCACCGCCACGACCGGCTATTGGAACGGGTTGGATACCGGCAGACGCCACTTTTCGGCCGTCGGTTCAGCCTAGACTCCCAGTTGGCATGGCCGTTTCAGCTCGCTCGTCAGTAGAAAAAAACTTTGTACAAGTTAAAACAGAACAGGACTAGTTGATAATGTATACCGTACTATTTTACTCCTACGCTGGCTGTTGATGCATGACCAATCCTCAAATCAGATCTGGAGCATCGTTGAGCTAAGAGTCGAAAGCCAGGTGTAGCACGCCCGCTGATCCAAGCTTCAGAGAAGACTTTGTCCAGACGATCAACGCTTGGTTCATGAACTTTTAACTAAGATCGTCTCTGGATTAGTGGAATGATATCTTGAACGTGAAGGAATTTGAGCCTCCTGTCTGGGTATTCGATCCATAGTAGGTATATTCTGGATTGAGGCGGCGCGTCGCTTCAAGTCCCACGTGTCACGTGCACTTCTAGGCCAAGTCTGTATTTAGTCTTTCGGAGCGCGAAAAACCAACGGAAGGGATTTGAATTCAGGGAGATCTAGAGTCGGGCGGAGGAGCTTGCATGGCGTATTGGTGTGAGGGGGACACACGTATTGCTTTCGCTGGGCGGATGGGAATCTCGTCAGAGTCAAAGTTCTCGATCGATCCTGGTGGTTCGGAGTACTCTGGTACAACACTTCCAAATTGCTTCAACACCGATCCATTATGATTGGACGCTGAATGGCTTGCTGTGTCAGTCTGCCCACGAAGGTCACTTGAGATGATGCGAATGTTTAGTGGAGACTCACTTGAACTTGTGAGTCAGTTAGAGCCCAGTTGGGCTTGCCCATTCGAAGCCCTCTTAATATGGCCGAGACATTGTCCACTTTCTTCTGCAGCACCTCCATGTCCTCGCCCTTCATGTCAAGCGACGCCGTCATTGCCGCGATAATATCATCTTTCTCTTGTACCGTCTGCAAGCTAAATCAGGGGGGGACGAACGTCTTGACGCACGAGACACACCATCTCCAAACTCTGGAATATGTCTGCTTTTCGGCGTAATGCCTCCCACAATAAATCGTTTTCGAGCTGGAGGTGTTCAAGTTCGCGCCCGTCTTCTTTGTGCTCGCTTTCTAGTTGTTCAATCTTCACGCTCGCATCGAAAAGTCTTTCAGAAAGCTTGCGATTGTTGTCTCTTAGCATGTTGAGCTGCGTTGTGAGCAACTGAACAGACGAATAAATCAAGCTCGTTGCGTCTCGAGCCAATCTAAGGCCATCCTGTACAACCGGGTCCAGTTCTTTGCTCAAAGCCACTTCAAAATCATGGGAGGCCGTGCCGTGTTTCGTGTGATGAGATTGCTTGGTTTTGGAGGCACCAACTACTACATATAGGTGCAGTCAGCTTCCGGAAACGCAGTAGTTTGAGAGACGCGCACGACAGTGAGGGGCAGTGGGTATAGCAGGGGGCGCTGATTTAGCGCGTTTGGCGGGCGAAAGCATAAACATGGACTTCGAGAATGCCTCGAGGCAACATGACAGTCCATACAGTGTCTTGATGGTCCTTTTGCTTGGGCTTCAATTGCAGATTCACCTTCGGGATACCCATATTTGAACTATTCGTTGGGGATAAAGACAGTGTTCGCAAAAGTTGGCGAGCAGAAAAAGAGAAGATGCATCGGTCACACCTCAAATAACGCCTTGTCGATCTTCAGTCGAAGCTGCTTCCTCGAAAGATGGCGGTTGTTCTCTGCTTCTGTCCACCATGTTTTACGCGCTGCTGGGCATCCTTACCGCCTTCTGTACCACCGGAATCGCCCAGCCAAGTCCGGAAGAGCTGGCACCATTGATTGCTGGACTCGAGAATCGTCCTCATGAGATTGAAGCACGCGTGCCCTTGTCGACAGATGACCCTACGGTGGTACCCTTGATATCTATGCAAGTATTCGCACCACCTTCCACTCCTAGAAATGGAAAAAGCTGCTCGGTGACTTTGCTCCAGCATACGTTTGGTTGGGAGCAGTCTCCATCTATCGTCATGTTCTAACAACATCTACAGGCGATGGCTCGTATAATACTCCTGCCGTTGTACCTTATACTCCTCCCACCAACTCCGACTGTGGAGAAATCGGGAAGTGGGCTACAATTAGTTTGAACCTTTCCGTTTACTCGTGATACACTTACTCTGTTTTCTGAAGCCCTTTGGACTGATTCAGTTATAGGATAGGAACTCAATACGATAGACTCAGCGCGGTTTATCTTTCCCATTCCGAGAGTAAATATCACTTCTACTTCACCAATTTTTTTTCTTCTTTCCTAAATCATGTCTACAGTCTGGCGTCACTCCAGTGCGGAACCAACCAAAACTGGGACGATCTGGAATACGGTTAAAGACGTCACACATTTTGCCGCGCTCTTCTCGAAACCCGGCCCGCTTATGATGGACTTCAGCAATATCATCGCTCCAGATTTGTGTGTCCTTTCTTTCCCGCCTCGCTTGAATTTGAACGTTGGGTTATCGTAGGCTTCTTGACGGTGTCTTTAATGTGACAATAACAGCAACGTTCAATGCCCCTACGAAAAGTTTCCCAGCTGCGGTAACTTCGGATACAATTATACCACTATCCAATCTGAGCCCAACACTCCCTAACTTCTTCGCGATCTCGGATGATATCGGGGCCGTAACTAATGTAATATTTCCGAGCTCTGCAATTGAGGCGTACGTTGAAGTCTTCTGCTCCGGTAATTCTGCAGAAGAATTTTGGTATCTCAGTACGTCCTTACTTCTTGTAGTTTGGTCAATCTGATTTTAAGTGCCTGCTCAGATACCCCGGATGAATTCGTCGCAAACTTTCCAGCATCGACTGGTGTGACTGGCAAAGGCCCATTCCGCGAAGTCCAAGTCCTCGTCGATGACAAGATAGCTGGTGTCGTTTGGCCCTATGCGGTGATCTACACTGGCGGAATTACTCCGTCTAATTGGCGGCCTTTGACAAGCTATGGCGCATACGACCAGCCGACATACTGGGTCGACATCACACCCTTCATTCCACTGCTTGTCGATAAGACAAACACAACGCATACTGTAACTCTACGCGTCGTAGGGCAGGGTCTCTCTCCCCCAAGCTACAACTCAAACTGGTTTGTGAGCGGGAGCATCCACATTCGAACAGGCACTGGGCCAACCTCTGGCAAGATGACGAAATATGATGTTCCGCGATTGGAAATCGCGACAACGGGTGGGACCAGCGACAGCAATGCTACGGTTTGGACAAAGGTCGTTGCCCATCGACGGCTCAATATCGAAAGCGAGCTAATTATGGGGGATGGGGGAAAGGTCAAAGCCTCCTTTTCGCAAAACTTGGATTACAGTAATGTCGCGCGGTATATCGACGATGGCTGGATTCAGGTATTTTGTCATTTTTCTCTGTGTTCAATACTCAAGAGGTACCATAGTGGGGTGTGCAAAGCACAACTGGAACAACTTTGGCTACTCATCAAGGGAAACAAGTCCTGCGCGACGCGTTTGACTATCCACTAAGCGTGTTCTCCAACTACTCCCTATATTCGCAGGAGTTTGGTGAGTTTTGCCAGTGTCCTTGTTTAGTCTAACCTGACTAATGTTAATAGGTAGCTACAATTCAGAAATAAACCAAACTCATATCCGTGCCCTTCAACAACCGTTCGACGCTTCTCGTCAGCGGACCATACGGTCAATACAACAAGCGCGCGGCCATGTCTGGATGGATAACTGGCCCGGACTTCGACATGCAATCAATGCAACAGGCGCGACGGAGCAGTCGTTTGCCTATATCGATGGACGAGGCGAGACCTATTTTCGGGAGGTCGCTGCAAAGGATGACGGCTGGAAGAAGGATCGAGTATGGGGATCGTTGAGAAATGGAAATCCACCACTCCCACCAACTCAGTTCCGTACAGTGCATATGGAATTGGAGGACAGGCGCAGGCCTTTGAGGACTCACAACAATCTTATCGGACGATGATGGCAAGCACATGCACACGTGACCCTGTGATCACACGCCGAGTCAATGAAAAAGGTTTTTGAACACAGTCGGGTAGTGGTTTTCTGGAGCAGCCAGCAGCAATTCTAACCTAATGAACTGGCCCCAAGAGATTACTTCACTCGACGGCTAGAGGTTATAGAACTCCTTGATCGTTTTCCACTGATGATCCGGCCAGAGCTTGTTCGCGCTTCCTGCGGCATTGTCCCCGGTGCCCTCCTTTCCAGCGACGACATCCCAGCCTGTGCTGCCCGCCCCAGCGTCGGCGATCAGCATCAGCGCTTTGAGGTCGGCCGCGTGCGGGCCGGGGATGTCATTCACGTGTTCGACGGTTGTGCCGAATAGCGGCCCGAGATCGTTCGCGCTGACCCGGTCGCCCTGAATGCGGAAAATCTTGTTCTCGAGTGCGATGGGTGGAAGTGTTGTCAGTACGTGCACAACGAAACCTGGGGGTACCAGTGATTAACGCTGTGGGATATGCAGACAAAGCGGACTGCCTACCTGTGATATCGGCAACAGAAGTCACAGACACTGGCGCCTCGCCCTTGCCGATGACGATGATCTTCTTGGTCTTTTCGTACCCAAACGCCATCGGTATAAAGTCCATGAACATTCCGGTCTGGAATTGCTGTCAACGTCAATCGAAAATGGCAACAACCAACTCACGTATATGCGCAGGGAGGGGATGCCAACCCGCTTGAGAAGCTCTGTGTTTTTGGTGAATATCACACAAATGGAGACTTCAAACAAACTTACCAGAAATCTCGTACTTTTCAGCCAGCAGACCACTCGTGTGGCCCTCGGTCGGGAAGCCAAACTCCGATGGCACGAATAGTTTGATCCCCGCCTCCTTGGCCGCCTCAATGAGGGGTGTCTGTGCAGCGATGGCTTGCATGCCGAGGGTAGATATAACCACATCGACTTTGTGATCTTTGAGGACTGCCGCAACTGCAGCAGCGTTAGCGATGTCTACCAAGGCAGATTTTGCTCCAGCAGGGAGGTTTGCTACGCTCTTCGAGCCGGGGCGGGCGATGACCACGATCGGTAGATTTTTGGCGACTAGGCCAGCTACAATTGGCGTTCCGATTAGACCGGCCCCAAAAAGTGCAAAGGAGGTGAAGGACGACATTCAAGTTTGGGCGGTTCGAGTTCAACTTGCTGTTATGACAGTGTCCTCCACATTCTTATATAGCGCAATCTCAAATAGCCTCTAGGACGCGCCCGCCGCCTGCCGACAGGAGAAATATGCATAACGCAATGCGCCGCCTCATTAGCCAGCAAGTTGAGATGGACGCGTAGTAGCCCATACAGACGCTCGGTCAGCGGAGGCGTAATTCGCGACTCTGTCGGGCTATCGTGGTACTGGACGGTGCGCGGAAAAGTACATTTCCCGATAGGTTCGGTGTTGATGTAGTACTTCTTGTTAAATTGAGCATCAGAAGACGGTTTTTGTGCAGGTATCAACCCAGGCGGTCGCGAGATTGCGTCTATATGATCATCTGGAGAAGGCAAGCACTCAGAAACCGTCAATGACACTTGAAGTTCATTCACTCAGGTTACCGACTGGCAACTTGAAAATAATGACGCTTCATTGGACTGGTGAATTTGGTAGGTTATATACATTTTAGTAGAGTAGATCTAGAGCAATCGCGACACGGGCGATGTTGATGATATGACAGCAGCGATACTTTGTGTAATGTATAAGGGAGAAAAAGAAAACAGCACAGCAGAGAACAAAGCAATCGAGAGAGCGAGCAACTTTTTGGCCTAAATTCTCCAAAGCTTCATGCAAGGCGACCTGAGGAATGATCTTATGAATGGCCATGAACCGCAAACTGAACACTCCAACGCACCTTTCCTGAAAGTCTTGTATGAGGCCATCACAAAATGAATGATGTCGCCGACAGTGGAGGCCCAGTAGGGTATCTACAAAAAAATGAGTTTGAGCCAAGCAAAAATGCAGAGCAAGACCTTGGGGAGCAACCGATGCCATCCATCAACTCGGACTGGGACTCGGAGATTGTCGTTATTCTGCGGCGCTTCGCCAGACTGTTCAACAAGGCTGATTGTCATCCCATCACCAGATGTGGAGGGACGACATAACATACAGTGTCGGCTGGCATGTATGGGACCGGTGCCTCTTGGATGATAGTGCAGAAAAAGTTGTAGTTGGTGGCCATTTGGCGCTATGCTGGTTGGCAAGAGAAAAGGTGTTGTTTGACACCATCAGCCAACTCTCCGAGTCAAAGTGTCTCTCACAGCCACTCTTCTTCATGAATACACGGTCCATGTCCGCAATTTCAAGCCGCCGCCCTTTATGCCTCTACCCGCACATACTTCCCGGCACAATGGATCCACCTGGTTTCAAAGCAGCTCTGGCGGAACACCCACTCTCAAAAGACGAGGCCTAGCATGTCTCGTTAGTAGTGGAAACCATCCTGAAAAGCACCCACCAGTTGCGGCGTCGGTCATAGTCAGCGCTAGTTGGTGATAACTGTGTTTATAGTCATATCGGCTCCACGACTTTCACATCCCATTCGTTTTTGCCTTCCGCTGGCCACGCTCAACCACAAGCTCGTCGAAGTCATCCCATTCGCGTTGTCGTTCCAAATGAACTTGAAGGCGATTTACGCGCCTGCGTCGGTCGGCCATACGGTGGTGTGGCACCCCCTTCGGTGGGCCATTTCGCTGACCGGAGGTCATTCGGCTTCATAGCGTTCTAGGACATCGCCTTCCCTTTGTGGGTCCGCGTTTTCGTTTCGAGCACTCGGACAATGCTGGTGTATTTGTCTTGGGCTGGTTGCTGGAAGACGCACGAGTGTTGGATTGGATGGACGGGAGGGTGCGGAGATGTTCTGCAAGGGATCCGGAGGTCGTGGCTTGGGCGCTGGACGAAGTCTTCGTATCCCAGCGCAATTCATATGCGAAGGCCTCCGTTGTCGGTCTGTGGGAAACTACCGTCCAGTGGTGCATAACTGCAACTCAACCATATCGCAGTGCTCCATATTGCTGTTCGATGTTGGAATAGGCCACTCGAAGACACAACACCGAACTGTGAAGTTGGATATAAAGAGATTCGTTTTCGCATTTTGCATTATCTCCCCTTCTAACTCTCTGTCGTTATTGGTCAATGCCCACCAGCGACAAGCATCTCGCGCCAACCTATGATAAAATCATCGAGGTAGTTTGCCTGAGCTCCTGATACTGCAGTTCAGCCATCTGTCTTGCTTGCGATTCGAAAAGCACTCGCCAACTTCACGTCCGATGTTCTACTAGCTTGTCGCAATCGCTCACTTCAAGCTGACAATGTCGTCGAGTCATCAAGCATCTTGGAAGGAACCAAAGTTGAGAATCTTGAAGAAGGTCCTCAAGAGCGGCAAAGCGAGTGTTCGCTGGTAGAACGCGGCACAGATACTATGCTCTCCACGAAGGTATGGCCATGCTGGCGTCCCATGGAAGCGCCAATTCAAGAATGATAGGCAGGATCGTTTAAACCGAGCCAAAGAGACCAAGATGGAAGAGCTGTTTTCAAAAATCGCAGTATTTTCGCACATCAAGGGAAAGAACGCTTGAGAGTACTCGGTTTGGGTTGTTGCTAGAGGCCCGGCAGATGCTAGAAATCGGGATATCACGATGAGTTTTACATGACTTTTCAAATATTCATTGACTTGAAATCCGAAAAGCGCCGCGAGAATGGGTAAGTGCTCTGACACTAGATTCGGTTGCAGACCGAGGAGGACCTGAAAAGAAGTTTTACGCTCACTGTTGGAAGCTACGAGTCATGAACAACTTTCGAGCACTGAATGTCGACGACACACCATTCAAAACTCGACATCCCAGAAATAAGCGACACCACGCATCAACGCACACAACTTTCAGCTCAATTGAGTTGTCAATGGTTTCGCGATTTCGATGCATCTCTGTCTGACCGCGACCGAAAAAGAGTAACGCTCTTCCTCGCGAGGACTGCTGCCAATGGGGATGGCCTGAGGCTTCAAGTGCTGAGAGGGGAGTGCTTGTGAGGCTCGTTAGAGCATGATGCTTTTGACAGAGGTGCTGCTTCCCATCCAACTGGAGTTCAAAAGAGCAAGCATGCGAGGTTGGAGGAAATTTCGGGAGGCCGGTGTACGATTTGTTGGTTGAGCGGAAGAAACTTCAGGGTCAGACCGATCAATCCTGGACCCCTGACTGGCTGCCAACTTCGCCACTCTTCCAAAATTCTCACTACCCATCGTCGATGTTCAAAGTGGCATGCTCATGGCTTCGCAACCGGTCCTGAATATCCTGACTGTTTGACAATCGACATCCAACGAAACAATGGAGTCCGTACATTACTAGTGCCACCAACGTGGTGCAACACTTCTGGTAAAGCCAGCTACAGCGAGTCGATTCCACCTTGCTTTCTCGACTCAATAAACCCAACAGGCGTTTACTGCACCCAACAGCGACAGACTCTTGACGAGTACGTCACGAATGCAAAGTTGAATGAAGTTCGAGGGAAAGCTCGACGTTAACTGTCTATTTGAGAGAGCCTGCGAGATACGGAGAAATAACAACTCGCTGACTTCCAGCTCCACTCGAACCAACCGACTTAAACCGCGACTTGAACGCTGCTCTCGATGCGGTGAACACTCCTCAGAGTCGCATTTGATCGTCGCCGACAACGGTTCCGAGGGAGATCGACCCCAGCGTGACCTTCTTCGCAAAGATCCAAGATGTTCTCGTCCAAGGCCCTCTAGTATTTATACCTCCTTGGAACAGTTAATATCTCCCAGGGGGATCAATCCAGCATCGGAGCTTGCCTTCCGATCCCGCCAACTCTGACCCTGCCTCTGTAGTCTCACTTGCAATCCAACATATTTTGGCTGTCGTTCATGGTGATCCAACAAATACATTTCCCTTTCGTGCTCCCAGTCCCCTGCGATAGGTCATGAATGGCTGGAACAGAGACTCTACCCCAAGCGAAGCGATGCCTCAAGGCACCATCGGGGTCTTATCCGAATACCTTATCTCCTCTAGGAAAAAAAACGAACTCCGACCTCGTAATAATATGCAATCGGGAAGACAAAAGAGACATACCTCGCCGACGGGCTGTCTGATCACTCGAGAAAGAGGGTCTTGACCTCAAATTTGGACTCAGACGTTCTATATTCAAGAGCGAAGACTCACCGTTATGTTATTGTTAGCTCTCGGTTGTACAACCCGACACGGGCACACTCCAAGTTTGTCCGCGCAGCTTCGCATAGGTGGCGCAATGGCGTCCTCGCCGCCTGTTATCGAAAGTCAACACAAACTTCCAGCGCATTTGCGGTGACTGAAGTGCCGCTTCAATGTAGTCAGACTGTTAATGAGGTCGAAGAGGGGTGAGTGGGACGACGAAAATAGCACTTCAACAGGAGTGAAATCAAGTTGGTCAGGCAAGTTCAATTTTGCAAGTTAGCTAGCACGTGAAGTTTGAAGATACTAGTAATGCAACTCATACTCCCGAGCCCGATGCTTTCAACTCGAAGTGTCGACATTCGAGGAAGCCAACTCTGGGACCCAAAGTTGAATGAAGATCGCTCTGTTGTGGGCGCGTCCGTCATCCTGGTACATACGACTCGATCGAGGAAGAAAGAGACATCTAATGTCTTCGAATGCCGTTGATGACAGTCGACTGCAATTAAAGCGCGCATTGGCCTTGGACGACATACCGCCATATCCCAGCGGTGTTTGGCTGTAAGCTGACAGCAATGAGCATTAATGAACGAAGACGTTCACTTCACTGCCTATACAGCACTCTCCCTCTGCCTTTAACCAGTCTATCTCGGCATAATATCACCCCCTCGTGGCCATGGTTGGTGTGCGGCCTTCGCGTTGTGATGTGAACGTGAAGGCGCTGAACCCGAGTTGTTGCAGGAGGCCCAACAGCACCAGGCCTGTGCTCGCGGCTGTCCAACCTCGTTGTCGACAGCAAAGGTCCCAAGTAATATGAAATCAGATGGCAAGCGGAGGCTATCGTCGGGCAGATAATCGGATTTGATCTGATATGATTGCCAGTGTGGGGGAAAGAAAGCTAAGCCGAGATCGCTGCTCGCGTTGGTGTCGTGTTGGGGTTGGCGGGCGGGTGAGAATGGGATCGATGCTCATGCGTCCGGGGACTCGCGACCCACAGCTCCGAGAAGGGAATGGTCTAATATCGGACCTGTCCATCGAAGTCTCATGTCTTCGAGGTTCCGAGCCAAGTTGCTTGATTGATGCCTTGAACTAACACGCCAAAGGTTCGTGTGCTTACAACCCACACTGGCAGTGGATCTGGCCTGTGAACGCCGGGAAAGTAGCTCAGAGTCCGCGTGAGTAAAGTCGACACCACTCTTCGGAAAGCACTAGCAAGCAGCAGTGGAATAAAATGCACGACTTCTCATAGGCTGGGACGCGGTATCAATGGCCGTAAATGGAAAGTTGTTGACGACAAACGTGACCAGCATCAACCATCGCGAACCAGTGATTTCGCGTTATGCCGTCTTCCCTACACGACGGTACCGCGCCATCCCGATTCAACAGCATTTGCGCATGACTCGCAGCTCCGAAATGACTCGCGCGTCGGGGCGGGCCGCCCAATTGGGAAATAGACTGAAATTAGAAGCGCATAAAAGGTTGTCAAGTGCGTATACTATGTTTCCAGTCTACTGCTGCTGCTCGCTGGAATGTCTCGACAGGTCCACTTCTCCAACAATGTTTACTATACTTCGGCCCAGTCCCCATCACCTTCTGTCGCCTCCTTTGCTTCATATTGTCCACCATCTCCCGTCCCCACAGCATGCCTGGATCCGCTTCTTACCCCTCAATTGTGTGCCGCCCTCACGTTCCACATAACCGATTCCCCTTGTCCTGCGAAGCCATCCGCGTTACGAGCGCCAGCTACAACCCCTTCTGTGGCGAAACTTGAGGTAACCCATCCCGGGCTGGCCTATTTTGGCTGGAAAATACTGGTCACTGCGGCTGACGGCCACTGTGTCCGTATTGACGAGGTCCTCAAGGGGATTTATACCTCCCTCCGCCAGGGTGTCGATTCCGAGACCTTCCACAGTCTGCGTTCCCACCAGGCTGCAAACGTCACTAAAGCGTTTCAAACGCGCTCCCGGAATAGGGACGGGGAGGCCAACAAGGGTCTTAAACGCGTTGATTTGGTCACCAGTGTTCCCATTGACACAACTGGCAACAACTACCGCACACGCTTCGCCGGCCTGGTGCCAGTGCTGTCTAAAAGCCAGCCCAGTGTGCCCCTCTATGAGCTGAAGCTCATATAAAATTTCCGAACTGCGATACCCATAGACATTGACTGACATACCCCCACTCTGTAGCGTTACCCACCCCCGCCTGTGTTATTAGCCGTATTTGCTGTATTTGTTAGCTGTGTCTTTTCGGCGCGATATTGAATCTAACCCCCGTCTTATCTTATCCTGGTGTGCATCTGCGATATGCATCGCAGATGTCGTGACTGGCATCTGGCCAATCGGAAGGCCGGAATTTGGTGGCACAGCGTCACAGGTGTCTGGATCCGGTGTCACGGTCCTCCTTCGGTCCAGATTCTTTCTGTCTCTCTCCACACCACACCATGGCCGCCGTTGCTCGCCTGCAGCATGCCAGCCGCTTCTCCTCCCTCCCTTTCCTATATCCATGTCTGGCCACCGTTTCCGCCAATGCATCTGGCTCGACAAGACGAGCGATGATGTCAGCCTACAAGCCCTCACCACCGACCCCGAGCTTAGAGCAAGCATTGCCAACGCTGCAGTCCCCACCGCTGGTCCTCCCATCCGTAACGTCACTCTCCCCAGATGCCGCTGCCCCACAAACGGCAGCCCGACCTCCGCCCGCGCCCAAGCCAGAAAAACCGCGGCCTGTGCTTCGACCGACGAAGGCGGCACTAACCATTGTGCGTTTTCTGTCCTTTTCATACTGATTGGTTATGTCCTCATGTGCTACACAGACACCCTCCGCCGTTGCGCGTCTCTCAACGCTGTCGCAGGCGCCAACTCCACAGCTTATCCGAATCGGAGTCCGCAATAAGGGCTGCGCGGGGCTGTCATACCACCTAGAATACGTCGAGAAGCCGGGCAAGTTTGACGAGGTCGTCGAGCAGGACGGTGTCCGAGTGCTCATCGACAGCAAGGCGCTGTTTTCCATAATCGGGAGTGAGATGGACTGGGCGGAGGATGCACTCAGGTATGACCCCCCACTTCTTCCTCACCTCTTCCTAGCTAACAGTAACTCGCAGTGCCAAGTTTGCGTTCAAGAACCCGAACATCAAGGATGCATGTGGGTGTGGCGAGTCCTTCACGGTGGGACATTAGCCTATAGAGACGTGCATGCATGTATTTTTCACCGAGTCTGAGAACATTAATTTACAGCTTTGTATCCCTACGTTTTAACAACGCTCGCTCCCCACTGGCCATTTACTTTCCTAGTACAAGCTGAGACGACATTGATGACGGATTTGACTCAGCATTAGCAAGACTGAGATTCGCCATCGTCAGCACTACAACTTCCTCCCTTGTTAGGGCAGCATACTGGGAGATTTTTTGGAGGTCTATGCCGCGGCCTAGCGACTATGATCTGAACAATTTGCAATGCGTTGAGACTGAGGAAGATGTAGCAGGGAAACTTTCTTTTCTTCCCTTCCGACTATACAAGCAAATGAGGAATTCATCAGTGAGAACTAATAGTATTGGACGAGCGATATATACTTGTTACAGAAGGACCGATTCATACTTAACATTCTCCCGAGCCCTTTCGTTTTCTCAAACCACGACGAGTTCGTTTGATCTGGATTGGCACATTAGTAAAGTGAAGGTCTTTAGAATGCCAACGCACTTTGCCGCCAGTCCAGTCTGGTTGGCAATGTCCTGGCGCCGATGTTGCCCACGGATCGTAGTGGGCACCCAGTACAAGCGGCTCAGAGATGATTTGTACGCGCGGGTCCAAGAAAGTCGTCGTCTCTGAGTCATCCGGGTTCTGGTTTTCCTTCTCCTTGGAAGCGACGACGTGGATCGCAAGTGACTCAAGCGCTTGGCCTGCCTTTGAGTTCAATATTTTTTGCAGGATGGGCACGAAGACGGGGTTGATGTGTTGCTTGTAGCTGCGCAAGGCGAGATGTCTTAGTGCTGGGAAATGGGTCGGAGTAATGAAGTTGGAGATGGCGGCCCAGCGCTGCGGAGGGTCGAAGAGATGTAAATGCGTGAGTCTCGGGAACGAAAACTGCGATACTGCGCCTGGAGATGACCGCAAGCCAAGCCCGTCAACGGTGTCAAGGGTGATGCACAGTCGTGTCAGTCGTTTCATTCTGGTCAGAACCCGCAATGGTGTCCGGCCATAGGAGAAGTCGGCCAGCCGCACGACACCGGTACAGAGGGAGAGCAGCTTGGTGACGCTGGGGTCGTTTTGAGTGATATAGGGGTCGATTCGGATATAGCGTATCCAGCAAGCGGCACGCACGGGATGTGCTTCGAGGGTCTGGAGTAGAAGCGGCAGTGAGGGCGACCAGGTCAGCTGGGAAATTGTGAGGGTGTGGTAAAGCATTGGCTCAAGCCTTGGGAAGGAGTCAGAAACTAGGATTGAGTGCAGAGGAGGCGTCTACCAAATCCGGCATCTGTGAGCGACAAGAATAAGCTTGAGTGTGTTGGTGCCCTCCGCGACGGCCACTTCAAATATCGCCCGCTCTAGATCTTGTGGAAGCCTTGGGACGGCGTCGAGAGCCATGGTTGAGTGGATGAGGAAAGAGTCAGGGTTGATTTGAAGATCACGGAGCTTTCGACGGAAGTAAAAATTTGTTGTGGGAGTCAGAGAATCGGAACCGAGCCAAGCGATTATTGCGAAGATGACTTGCAAACTTGCAAGGAGACTCCGTTTGGGAGACGCATGTCTATTTGCCAGCGCCGTCCTACAAGCAGTTAATCACCTCTCTTTCGCTCCTTTTTGGTGTCCAGTTCTCTCAAGACATACTTGAAGCATCAATGATTTTGACAAGTTTTCATCCATGACCGAGGATTCGGAGGAACAAAATGAGTCGTCGTAGGATTCTCATGTGATAGAACGGGTGGAAGGATGATTAGGCGCTAGCAGTCCAATGATGGAAGTAGGCAGGGTACAATACGTCGTCGATAACATTGACGAGGTTGGGTCATAAGTGGTCGTGGTTCGGGGTAACGTTCGAACTCCTGCGGCTTTGAGATCCAGGCAAGTCACGGTCGCAGCAATTCACTCGCAACCTCTCGAGCTACCCATTGGCAAGCGAATTGCATTCCTAGAAAGACCCTTCAATACTTTCAACGTGGAGGTATGGCGCGAATGAGCTGCTGGCCATGTCGACAACATGTGGGTGAGAACGAAAGACGCGACACGGACACGTGATGGCCAGACCTCTTGCCGGCCAAGGATCAAAATTCCTCAGTTTCCCTCAGCTCAAAATAACCAGTCTAAATACAGAGACCTATGCCAATGACTTCACGCTCGACCGCTCGCTGTCTATCAGGGGCCCCGTCGAAGTTCTTTCCGTGGCAAACTCGGACAGCCTGAGCAAGGTCATCTGGTTGCGACATACTTAAGCCACCAGCGAAGCTCGGATCCGCGTCTCGACAGCACGCAGATGTTACTTCGCCCCATCCAATTCTTCGTTTTCTGGGTGATGCTCAAGGGAGTTCTGGGGAGTCCGAGAATCAACAGTCTCTTGGCTAACACCATCGTCGCGCGAAACAACATCTCTATGGTCGAATGCTGGGCGATTGAGCCTGGATTCCAGCTGTCCAACGTGGTGAGTCACTGGCAAAGCTGTCAAGATGCGCCAGCCATCTCACGAAATCAAGTCTGGGACAGTTGGTGACCAAGTCCTCCAGCTAGGCAATATCGCGAACGCAGTGTATATCATTATTCCTGACGACAACGGGAAGCCAAACGACGGCGGGTGAGGAAGACACATTTAACAGAGGCCGAGTGCTGGAAAGCTTATTTAGTTTGCACAACGGCGCACATTCGCAGTGGGTATTTGCCCTCACGGGTGGGGTCAATGTTAGTTTTCCCGAGGCGCCGGGCGGATTTTCAGTCGCGGCAGGGGGCATCTTCATTTCCACGGTAAGCATGCCATAGGTCTGTTAGCTTGGTTTCAGCTTTGTGAAGGACATACGCGGTACATCTACTTTGGGCCATCGAAGTCTGTGGGCCGCTGGATCGATTTTCATACAGGCCCCGTTCCCGGATGGGATTGCGGTTAACCACACTGTCGTTGCACAGAGCTCTTGTGAGGAATACGAATTAGCGAGAACGTTTTGAAGGAGTGGACCAAACTGGCAAGTGATTTGAAAATACGAAGACCAAGAAGGTTGCAGGGTCACTGAACAACGGTGCATATCGAGACTTGAAGGGATGCGGAAGCTGGTGAGAGAGAAAGAACGCGCACGTCATTCCGAGATGAAATGAAATATTTTAAGCCGTGATTGACGATCCGTCCCTCATTGCCTGCAGAGAAGAATTTGCGGGATAACGCGACACTGTCAATGGGCTCGCATAAACAGACAAGATTCGTTGCTTGAGGACAGTCTATGACAGTCCCCCGCGTGCACGTGGTGCTGTAATGGGAGCAATATTCATCGATTATCTCGACCGATCGATATGGACCTGGACCTTTACTGTCGGCGAAGAGGTCAGACGGCGGCAAACATAGCTCCGGCGCTACTGACCACGTTCACTATGCATACTCAATTTGGTTGAGCTACAACGAAGCAGTTTCCAATGGCCATGTGTGAGATCGAGATACTTAAGACCGTACCGTGACTACTTATGCGAAGCCTGAGTTTGATGCATGGCATTTGCACCCCATTGAGGCATTCATGGTTCAACTGGAAGGCGTTTGAGATAAGGTTTGGCAGCATTATCGTTCCGCGTGTCTTTGTATCATCTCGGATAAGAAATGAGACTTGGCGCCTGTGTCTTGGAACACCACTGCTTTATAGAGGGGACGAATCGAAGACTTCTCAGGAAAGTGCCGAAAACGTTGCAAGTTGTGGCTGACGATGGATCATGGGGGGGGTCGTTGGGCGGTATGTATTTCAGAGCAATGGGACAAGTGTGAGAAACGAGCTCGACACCACATTTAAGATGTGCGTCTGTGCCTTGTGCCAGCCATTTGCGGTCCAATGTTCTTTATGGTTGTCCCCTCCCGATGCTAGCAAATAATGCTTAAAATGAAGCCTGCCTTGTCAGAAAGGCGTCGCTGGAAGCAAAAAGTCGAACCAGGATGTGCGCACATCCAGCCACATTGGGCATCGAGGTGCTGTCTTTTGGTGTTTCTTCGTGCCCGCTCTCTTTTGAGTAGATGCGGTCCCGCTCACCATGGATTGCGAATGTATTTTGATAGGGTTCCAGCAAATGCGAGAACGAAAGACTTGGGAATACAGAGTCTGCCGATTCAGTCAAACATAGACAAGTAATTGAAACCGACACAGAAAGTTGGACTAAAAGCCACTCATGGCACCTTCTTGGTAGCGAAAAACCAATGGATGTGGGTGGCGAGCACTTGCATATGGCTACAAGACCGGGCCGTTGAAGACGATAGAATCCGGATGTTGTCGACATGTAACAAGTGAACGTTTGCGATAAAACAACGACGGCGTTGGCCAGGATAATTCTCGAACGCCTAAGTGGTTGTGGTCATATTTGTGCGCGAGAGACGAGGGTGGCAAGGGAGGCAAGGCAAGATAGGAAGGAGAAACTGTCAGTGAATCCAAACAATTGTTGACAGCGTGACGCCTTTGCTACTCGAACCGATTGAAGACTTCGGCATGCTTGACGATGTCGATGGTGCGCTGGCCTTTCCTCGTTTCAGGACGACAACCTCTCCTTCATCCATATAATCCCGCCCCCTACTTTTTTGTCAGCCAAGGTCCAACGCGGGTATGGGCCTTACCTTCGTCAAGAATCGTCAACCGGTCCTGCCCCTCCGAATGTCGGTCAGTCTTGTTTCTTCAAGTTCTGGACAAAGAAACCACCTAACTCAGACTCGCGTTTAGTTCCTCGAGCCTTGCGCCGTTGACCTTCGTTTCATTCGAAGTTCATTGATCTCGACCTCTGGGCGGTTTCTACACTGCCCACAGATTGACCGTGCCCCATCGCACGACGCATCAGGTTTCCGGGAGGCATTTCAGACGAGGACTGCAATTTCGACGAGTTGAATTCCAGGACATCTGAACGAATATTCGTGGTTTTCAAACAGTGTACTGGGGTTCACACATGCTCTTTCTCGCAGCAACTGCCGCCAACGATTTCTGTTGGGTTGCGTTCAGATATGGATGGATGAAAAGCAAACACCGACTCAACCGAGCATGGAAATTCAACTGTACCATCAAGCCCGGAATAGCGAACCTTGGAGAGTAAGTCGTTGTTATTTGGTGCTTGCAGGTCATCGAGTCTCAACAGGTTGTCCCAAATTCTGTTCTTAGTATGAAAAATCAACGGGAATCCCTCAACTCCCGGAGTGTACACTCACCAGATCGATGTTTCCTTTCCTGATTACTAGGTCAGTGGTTAGTCCAAAGACGGTGTCAAACTTATCATAAATTACCGGTTCAGCACAGAGGATATTCTGGTCAGTGATCGCCTGCAGGCCCTACCTCTCGTGAAGACGTTTGCAAGCACAGTCGCCAGCCCTTTCCATCTTTGTGTCCTTGCCGACCTTTCATTGTCATTGGACGCCGCCCTCTTCTACATCCAAACCCTGCTCTCTATCGGGATTTTGACTGGCCCAGGTCCTATCTGCGAATACTGATCACATTCTTGTGAAGAGCCTCGTCTCCGCTGGGTCCTACCAGCCCACACCCGCTTCACCGATCTCGCACAAGCCTTTGTGGACCTTCAGCTTAGCCGAGTATCGTTCAGTTGAGTTCAGCCAATATCAACCAAGCGCTGGTCCACCATGGCCAATTGATGAAGACTCGGCTCAACCAACCTTAACTCGCTCTTCAAGTGAAGATTTGTCGTCGTCGGGGTTTACGTCGAGTTATTAAGAGGGGTGACTTCGACCATTTGGAGCAAAGGTCGTGCGAGTTGAATCCATTCTGCGAAACGCATGTCGATGAACGCATCGAAGTTTGGTGGAAGACGCTACTTTGGCCGCTGGTGGTCGACAACCAAAGACAGATCTTTGAAGGGTCTCTCTTATACTCAACTTTGTCGGGCCTTCTCTCAAGCCTTCTCTTCGTGTTGGAGTTAATCAACATCTAAAAAGCAATATGAAAGTCATCAAGGCGGAGCAGTTGTTTACCACCGCGGGAATTCTCCAAAACCAAGACACAAAATGCGACGAATAGTTAGAAGGCCCGAGCTTGAGATCAACAGGCGAGCGGCTCTCCGAAGTGCCCCAGTCCGTCCTCGTCGAGCGGCCACAGTAGGGAGGCTTTGCGCGCCGTTTTGAACAAGCGTTTCTCAGGTCAACGGCATGTTTGGCGCTTGGATGGGAAAATTTCGTCAGCCAACGGAGAACGTCGTCCTTTCTTGGTCCTTCCGCTCATCGAATTTGAAAGCCCATTGACTTTCCCGGCGACGAGCAATCAAGTTGAGGCCATAACAAGTCGAAGACAACGACGGGCGGTGTGCGAAGGGTCCCTGGGCCATACCCCACAACTGGTAGGTTGATTGTGATTATGTCCCGACTCATAGGACTCTCTAGAGCACTGTCAGCTGGTATATATTTCAGACAACGAAGCGACACACCAAAGCCACACGAGCCATGGCACGAGCCCCAGTAACAAACATTCCCAGTAGGTCCTAGAATGGGGTAAAATCTATGGAACCCAGTGAGTTTGGTCTGATAGGTCCCCGGACGAGGCAGGTTACTTACTTCAATCAGCGCCTCTAAGTTTCCAAGTTTGAGTCATCGGCGAGAACAAGGTGTGGCTGACATTGTTGGAGGGGCTCAATGGCCTAGCACTAACTCAGGGTAGACTTGGGGGAAAGAGAAAACACACCAACCCAACTCCCACGGTCTACAGTTTAAAACTGATGTCCTTGCTCTTGCCTTTCAACTACCACCAACCGACTAAGGAGCACGATGCCTCTCTTTGACGTTCATCTACAAATCAACCTCCACTGGCAGTTTTTCCCAACCAACATCATTCAACCAGGGCCAGCGGCGGCGGCGGCGGCAGCCCAGAGCGATAATGTAAGGATAAAGAGATGATCAGTTCTTGGCCTCGTTGACATTAACCTAGACAAACATAACATCTACGCTTGCCGCTCCACCGCCGAAGCCAGACCCAGTACAAGCACCCATACGACAGGTATGTTGCGTCGTCTTGCCTCAACAGAAACTAGGTGTCATCGATCCAATGACTCACTCGTGTGTTCCTAGGTCGAGCCTGAAATCGTCGCTCGACTTCGCAAAGCATTTCAGTGGTAAACAAGGTAATGTCTCTCCTTGCAGCTTTTTTGCCTCGAGCTAATCGTAGTCTGCAGTTGACTGATTCCTTTCCAACGCTCTCCGCCCTACTGCTATAATTCTGCTGTACTATAACCACTGTATCTCTCCGCCATGGTCAGCATAGGCTTTTGTATATACTATATCTTCAACTAGCTACAGAACAACGCAGACAAGACAACAACTACAGTACTTCAATGTCATCGTCACTACTGCAACTACATTTGTGCAACCCTCATACGACCCGATCTCAACGATCAAGACAGCAAATCCATCTTTCAAGTCTTCCCTAGCAATGTCAAGTGTGGACTGCACTTGTTATCCATATTCTCAGGACCTTTTTGTCGCAAGGCATTGATGAGCTTACATAAGTAAGCACTGGTCAACTATGAATACAACTCTTCCATAGTCTCGCTCAGTGGCATCAACTTCAAAAGCGTCGTTTTCAAGGTACCAGATACTGGTTTGCTTCTAATGAAACGTATCCTCCCAATCTCAGCACGCCATCGTTCCAAACCGTAGCCCAAGATGATTTGTCGGTGACCCCATAATGCTCTCAAAGCCTAATTTTCGATAGAAGCTGCCTGCGGCAATATTACGCGGATTCATGATCAGCCACACTCCTTCAATACCCTCTTGCTGTAAATGTCGAGCAGCATGTTCGATAAGCCGCCGCCCCCAGCCTCTGCCTTGATGGGATACCAGGATATCGATGTGCAAGTGCGCCGGCGCAAAATCGAGCGTTGTTTGCGGGAGTTGGCGGAAGTCCTGAAGAAGACGAGCGTATGCTTGGTCGGCAGGTAAAGACATCCCTTCGAGCGGGTACCGCTTAGCAAGAACTGGCCACAAATTTTTGCGCGCAAAGTTTTCGTAGGTGGCTGTGTCCAGAGAGCCAACCTGCGGAGTTGACTGTGAATTAGATGCATTGAACCAGAAACAGCACGACAAACAATGTATCCGACCACTTTGCCGTCGTCTTCCTCCAGAACGAAGCCCCATGTGGTGGGGAGAGTCACGTAGGGGACTGCCCAAACAAGTCCGGGCAACTCGGGGAACTCATGGAGGTGCTCTGCGGTTCCTCCAGAGTCGGCTGTGAGCAAGCAGATGCGAGAGAGCGCAGGGGCATCGTCGATACACGCGCGACGGATTTTGAGGGGCATATTTCAGAGGCCTAGCATCAGAGGAGTGGCTTTTAATACGACAGGGAAAAACGGTCCATTTCTTTGCAGAAAGAGTTGTGACGAAATCGCCGTGATTAGCGCAGCTGCGTGGCAGAAACGCCGCTGGGCAGCAGCTCCTGTAGCATAGCTTAACGCCCCTGATCAAAGACTAAGGGTCGGTTAACTTGCCCTTGCTCCTCAATCGATCTGCAATTCTGTTCATGGACGTCTATTACACGCAACAGTAGATGCGAGAGAGGAAATGCGGAAGCTTTCAAATGTGCAGGATCCTCAGTCATGCATTGAAGTTCAGAAACGCTGAGCGCGATATTCATAGTCACGTGTGCGCGGCCATCTGAATCATCGCGATCAGATCAGTTTTTTTTTGTTGCATATTGACGACCACTGGTCAGAGTCTCTCACCACGTCTCAACGGAATGTCAACTGCCTCCACCACTTCTTGTCACTCTCATACGAGCCTCAAAAGTGGTCTTAAATCGACTCAGATTGAGTTGGCCAAGTTCTCACGCTTTACGGCGTCTTTTTCCCCAGATGGATGTCCCCTTGTCTGGATATGGGAAATCATCACATAGCTTGATGTGTAGGTCCACAGGCGACGTCGCAGTCATATCCTCCCTTCCCACTCTCCCTCATGTCCCTTGCGGCCCTCGATGTCGCTCTGCTGGTGGGCAAAGCCATCGGTGTACTCGGTTTCCTGCTTTTCGCTCGATTCCTCGTGTGGCTCGTCAATTTGCTTCTCGTCGCCCCAAGATTCGACCCACTCCGACATCTCCCGGGGCCAGACGGTGGCGCGCTTGAAAGTCATTTCAACCAAGTGAACGAGTGCGTCGTCTATCGGCTCTTTTTTCATGATTTCGCCTCACACTTCGCCGCAGCCCCGACATCACGCCCCAGGTGTACAAAGACTGGACTTCACGCTTCGGAAAGACGTTCAGATATCATGGATATGGAAGGCACGACTACCGCCTCATGTCTTTTGACCTGCGCGTTCTTTCGCACATTCTGTTGTCTCCAACGTATCAAAAGCCATGGCAAACACGCCAGTATCTCGGCAGACTGTTGGGGCGCGGCGTATTTAATATGGAAGGAGCCGAGCATCGATACCTGGTATGTTTACCTTCCCCTCTGTGAATGCCCACTGATCCGTTTTTCTGCAGAGAAAACTCATTGGTCCTGTGTTTACAGCACAGGCGGTCAAGGATGTGTCTGGAGTGTATTTCCAAAAGGCCGAAGAGCTCACTGATCGCTGGGAAACCCTTCTCTGTGCCGGCTCTGGTGACTCTGCAACCTTCGATGTCGCTCACTGGGTCCTCAGAACGACATTCGACATCTTTGGCCTCGCCGGTCTCGATTACCACTTCAACGCGCTCCTCGACGAGTCAGAAGCCGTATACTCGGCGTTTCGCACGATGTTTTGCATTTCTGACAAGTCATCACAACTCCGGGTCTTAAAGCAACTCTACTTGCCCGTGGTGGAACGAATTTGGGTATGTGCGATCATCTTCCATGACATACAATGCATTGATTTCTAATAGCCAGACGAAGCCGACATAATCACTCAACGTTGCTTGAAAACCATCCACGAATGTGGAATGGCGCTCATCGAAACCAAACGACAAGCCATTCTCGCTGAGAAATCCGACTTTCAGTCGCAAGAGAAAGACATGCTGAGTCTTTTGAGTACGTCTGACTCGTTTGGCTGATAACTTCAACTAACCGAGTTGTCAGTCAAATCCAACTTGGCCGCGGATCCGTCGGCGCGACTTAGCGACCGCGAACTCCTCGACCAAATTACGTCCTTCCTTTTCGCGGGCTCTGACACCACTGCGCTCGCCATCACTTGGTGTCTGCGCTACCTCTCCTTACATCCGAATATCCAACAAAAGCTACGAGAAGAACTTGGTGACGCAGGAACAACTTCCCAAGTCGACGTCCTCGATGGGCTCCCGTATCTTGATGCTGTTCTCCGCGAAACTCTGCGTTTTACACCACCAGTTCATGGAACCCGTGAGCGTGTTGTTATACTCTTGAGCGTAACTAACCAAAGACCACTAGTTCGCGTGGCTACTGTCGACGATCTCATACCCATTTCCTCTCCAGTGACTCTCCGCGACGGCACAGTCGTAACTGAAACCGAGCATATCCGGATTCGCAAAGGCACATTTGTGCATATCCCACTCGAGGGCATCAATATGTCAGAAGACATCTGGGGCTCCGATGCCCAAACTTTCAACCCCGATCGGTGGCTCTCCTCGTCGCACTCCGGCCCGATCCAAGCCTTCCCCGGTCTCGCCAACCTGATGTCATTCTCTTTCGGCCGCGCTGCCTGCCCAGGCTATCGCTTTGCTCTCGTGGAAGCCAAAGTGGTCATTGCTGCGCTTGTCCGCCAATTCTCCTTCGAGCCTGTTGTCGGGTTGGAGATCGGGATGTACAACTGTGTGATGACCAAGCCTTTCGTAAGGCAAGCTGGGAGATGCGCGAGCGATGGTGTTGGCCTGCCGCTGAAGGTCACGCGTGTCGACACGCAACACAGAGTCTAATATTACCCATTCATTCGTTCAACCATCCATTCTCTGTTCATGTGCACTGAGTTCATTCGTTTGCTTCATTGTAGCTATAGCATCGTAGAAGTATCTATCTCGCGTCTGGTCGTTCGTTACAGGGAAACAGTTGGGCTATTCGTACACTACTTATTGTATTTCTATGTCATATCTGTAAAACTGCATTGTGATTTGGGGGTTTCTTTCCTGTGCAGCCAAACTGTGAATGCACAATACCCAGACCCTCTCCCCTCAATCCCAGTAAGTATTACAGGCTATTTCCTAAATCGGCGATTCTAAGAGATTTTCAGTGGATTTGATGTATATCAGCTGCAAAACCTCCCAATGAGATCCAATTTGGCCTGACTGTCCTTTTGAGAGATTATCAGAGCTTATCAAGTTTATCAGACCATATAAGGACTTTTGGACCCAGAAATTAAAATCATGCAAAGCATTAAGCTCTCTGCATCTTCCCTCACAAGGTTTCTAGAGGACTCTGCTGAAGTAGTAGCAGTATCTATCTTTACCAACTCAAAAAGAAAGGAAGACAGAAGTAACTGGCTGACTTTCCATAAGGCCAGACTTCAGATTTGAGCTTTCTAAACGATAAGCCGAGCAGATGCCGGACAGCTGTCGGGACCCCATCAGCTTGTTACCTCACTTATAATCTGGTTTCTGTTGCACCAGAGCTTATATCTGGGAGGGGGGGGGTAGGGACCCCCCTCCAGACTTTCTGAGCTTGTTCAAAGCTGCATAGTCCGCCACATTCCCTTGGCGGCCCCTCGTTTGGGGCCGGCCATCTGTCGGTCCGGTTCGCAAAAGTTCGGATCATTTCTGTATATATCGATACTCCAGTGGCTTGACATTTTTTGGCTATGTCGTGCTATGGTGGACAAGGGTCGACACGCTGGAAACTGGGCAGAGGCATCACATTGTGTTCTTGTACTCTGAAGGTTGCATTTATCTGAGCTCCAGTGGCTTCTGGGAAGTCACAAAAGGATTAAAGATTTAACCAAATTTGTGCCGTCATCTGCCACTGGCACCGCTCGTCTGGCCGAAAGTACAATCTGAGCTTATGGAAAGTCAACCACTACCACTACACCATACAACTATACAACTATGCACACGTGGGAAGCACGTGACCGAGAACGAATCTGAACGATGCGTCGAGCTGTCGCCGAGCCCAACTCGACACCAGGGGACTGGGGAGGAGTGCTAGGAGGTTAGGAGTAGTGCCTGGCCCACAAGGGATGTACAATCATCCCCTCTGCAGCCAGGAACGGGGGCGAGGAGGAGCAGGAGAGGCCAGGGTGTCCGATCACCCCCTTTGCGGGCCCGTGTATATAAGGCGCGATAGTGTACCATGTACTCTATCGCTTAGATCGTCTGAAGAACTACCTTACTCCGTGCAAGAAGGTGCCATCGACTTATCGGGCCCGACACGACCCGATTCGAACCTTCGACCATGTCAGGGGGAACCCCCGCTTCGGCCTCCTTCGGACCCTCCGAACGCATCCGAGGCGCATCCGACCGGCGCCCCCTCGGACGCTCCGACCCACCCCGACCATCGTCCACGGCCTCCTTCGCCCGCACAATCACCGATCCGTCAAGACCCTCCCAACGATCACCTTGGGACAGAGCTTGCGACGCCGCTCAGGCCTTCTGCGCTCTACGTCGGCAGTTACGGACGACCAGTATATAGTTGGCGCCCTAGCAGGCGGACCCTTAGAGTTTCTTCTCTTTGGATCCTCCCCTGCTAGGTCGGTCCCTCCGTGTATTTCCGTAGCTTCTATTCACGCTTTGGATCCTCCCCTGCTAGGCTTTCGTCGGAGTCTCCAGGGTTGCCCTTACAGCAGAAGAAACTCTCTACGGGATTAACCGGTCAAGATTGCCAGGTTTGGCGCTGATTCAGGCTCGGAGTACGAGTCCGTACCCCCCTTGTCACCGCCCCTGCCACTTGACCCCTCCTCCTCTGCTCTTGTCGTCTTTACGCCCGCTATGTCTACCGGAGCTGCTCCGGACGCTGACGCACGCATGGACGCACTTGAGGCGAAACTAGACAACCGCACCAATATCCTCACCCACCTTGCTTCCCAGGCTTCCGCTGCCGCACCACCTTCGGCAGCTCCCGAACCGCCTTCGGCATCTCCGAATGCCCCCGACGCGGATGCGTTATTTGGTGACATTACTGTCGCCTCAAAACTGGTCTTACGGCCAAACCCCCCGTTTGCGTTTAACGGAGATCGCAAACGCGGCCGCGCCTTCCTATACACGGTCAAGACTTACGCCCGGCTTGCCCCGGAGGCCTTCATGGTCAACGGAGAGCCGAGCGAAGAAAAGGCCGTCCGCTACGCCATGTCCTATATGGCGGAGGGACCTGCCCAGCAGTGGGCAGAGCGTCACGGAAGCAAAACCCCGTTCCCCTTCCCTCGGTGGAACCTATTCCTCTCCGAGTTTCGCCTTCGGTTTGTTGAGGAGAACGAGCAAGACCTCGCGCTCGCCAAGTTGGAAAGCGCGGGTTATCATATGGGAACGCGGGACGTCTACGGATATACCGACGACTTCGAGGACCTAATGGACCTTGCCGGATTCGAAGACGTGTTGGTTAAGGTGACCAAGTACCGCCATGGATTTGACCCCCTGATCAACAATTGCATCCAGCTCACTCACTCAGAAATGCGCGCATTTCCCCTGGGAACTGCCATTGGGAAGTGCGCGCATTTCTGGGCAGTCCCCCATGAGTTACATTTGTCACATTTTAAAAGCTTTTATTTTGTTTGTTTTTCAGTGTTTTGATAGGATATTACTGATGGGATTGATGCATCTTAGATCATTTGATGGATGTGGAACGATTTTTGATTGCCATCAGACATTTTGATAAATACATAAGGATACATCAATTTAGGCCTAATTGGGACATATTCCTGTTTTGGGGGTTATATAGTATACCTTAATGATATTACGGGTCTTCGGCCTGAAGAAATAGTGATTTGCTTATCATATATGTTATTTGCTTAGTCATATCTATAATATTCAAGGAGCTATTCAAGAAACATTAATTGTCACAGTCAGTGTCACATCCTCAGCCTTTGGCCTGCCACGGCCTTGCCCAGAAAATGCGCGCACTTCCCAATGGCAGTACCCAGGGAAATGCACGCATTTTTGGGTGCATGTCCTGTGGCATCACGTCCTCGAACGACCCCCCAGACCTCCGTGACTATCTGGGCTGGCGTACTTGGGCTTTCCGCCAATACGAAGCCTTGGTGCGGGCGAAGCTCATCAAAGGGACCACCCCGCGGACGCCTTTGGGGGCTCCGCGTGGCGCATTCCCTATCGCCCGTTCGGCAACTCCGTTCCCTATCCGCCCGGTGGCCGCACCTGCGCCACCCGCGGCCCGCGCCCCCGTCTCGGTACCTCCGGCTCCCATCCCTATGGAGTTGGATCGTACTAGGGCTCGGGGCACCCCTCGTCGAGCCTGCTTCAGATGTGGCGACCCCAACCACTTGGCTCGGGATTGTCCGCTCCCCGCCGATGTTCGCCATGTGGACATCCTTGACGAGGTAATCCAGCAACTTGGCGACGAGATGCTGGGAGAGCTGCTCGCGCGGTTGTCCGATACCGCGGCCTTAGCGGAGGTGCATTCGGAGGTTCCGGCAGAGGATTTTGTCCCCCGCGACGAGTGACTGGTGTGCCCTCGTTCGCGTCCATAAATCGTTTCACTTGTTTGTATGATGAATCAACTCCCTTGCCCTACAACGAGCCTGAAACGAAAGACACCCCCTGCCCCCTCCGAAGCCCCCGTTCGGATTCACCGACTTGCCTGGGAGAAAAAGCTACCTGGCAGCTATACCATCTCTGCCGCTCCTGGGGTTAACTCGCTCCACCTTCCCCTCGAACTTGAGTCCACCGCGAACGCGCTCAAGCTCTCCCTCTCAGGTCTGGTCGACTGCAGAGCCACTTCGGACTTTATCAACACAGAATACGTCAACCGAAACAACGTGCCGGTCCGAAATCTCTCAGTACCCATACCGGTCTACAATGTCGACGGTACCCCCAATGATGCTGGGTCTATTTGCCAAATCGCGGACCTCGTTCTACAATACAACGGACACTCCGAACGCGTTCAGCTGGCTGTAACCCACCTTGGGAAACAGGATTTGATACTCGGATACTCCTGGCTCAAGAAACACAACCCCGAGATCAACTGGGAAACGAAAGAGGTGAAAATGAGTCGATGCCCCCGAAGCTGCTCCACTTGCCGCGACGAGGAACGGACCGAGCGCGCGGAGGTTCGGGCGCCTCCGACTCCTCAAATCGTGTTTGCTCTCAGGCGCCTTCCCCACTGTTTGCGCTATCGATATCGCCGGTCCAGATGATGCTGACGACGAACTCGGAGCTACTTCGGACCCTCCGAGTCCCTCACCAGACCTCGACGATGACGAGCATCTTGAAGACGGCGACCGCATCTTCTACACCTCCTTCCGCCCAATCGAGGAGATTCGCGCTGGGAGCACCATGTCCCAACGCCTTGCAGAGGCCTTCGCCCGTAACTCGGCCCCCCGCCTTGGAAATTCCGGACTGGGCCAAGGAGTTCCAAGACGTCTTTGACAAGGAGTCCTTCGACACGTTACCAGAGCGGAGGGCTTGGGACCACGCTATTGAACTCGTTCCCGACGCGAAGCCCGCTAATTGCAAGGTGTATCCGATCTCCCCCCTTAAACAGCGCAAACTTGACAAGTTCATCGAGGAGGGACTTGCCACCGGCCGTATCCGCCCTTCGAAATCTCCGATGGCCTCCCCCGTCTTCTTCGTTAAGAAAAAGGACGGAGGACTTCGGTTTGTCCAGGACTACCGCGCCCTCAACGCAATGACGATTAAAAACCGGTGCCCCCTCCCGTTGATTAATGACCTTATCAACAGGCTCAAGGGTGCCCGTTATTTCACTAAACTTCGACGTTCGTTGGGGCTTCAATAACGTCCGGATTAAAGAAGGAGACGAG